AGGCAAATCTGATGGAATCTATAAATTCGGAAGATGCAATAAGAATAAGAGAAAAAGCTCTAGCAGTCAGGAGTCAAGCAGTGGAGAATATCAAGAAGCAACAAGGACGAGACAAGATGAGATACGACGAAAAGCACAGGCACTTGGAATTCAACGTTGGTGACAAGGTGAAAGTTTTTACCCCGAAAAGGATAGTCGGAAGAAGCGAAAAACTGATTCTCAGGTGGTTTGGTCCATTCTATATTACGAAAAAGATTGGGGAGGTAGACTATGAGGTACAAAGAGGACCAAATAGTAAATGTAAAAAGGAGGTGATCCATATAAGCCGAATTTTACCGTATAATGGCCCGTGGACCCCAGAAGTAACCGAAATTGATATGTCTGAAATAATTGAGGAGGATGAAAATCAAGAATCAGATAACGAAGGAATTTAATTAATATCGCACTCTCGTATTGTTTAGATAACGTGAACAGATTTTAGTGATCTTTGTATTTTTTTATTATTTATTTAGTAGGAAACATGCTCTGATGATATATTAAAGGATTTTAAGATATCGGCTAATGTAGATACGAAGAGCTTTTAATGTGAGGAAACTATTGATATGCAGTGAAGAGCACTGTATACGGGCTATCAGGAAACCCAAACGGGGTAGAGTATAACTAAAGTAGAGATTTGTGTTTTTGACCAAGGAGTCAAGGAAACTATCGCTGTCGACTTGATCAGTGCAGTAGTCACTGTGGATATCGGATCATCACCCTGTATCATTCAATACCCGTCGAGGTAAGTAGCCAGGGGAGTAGTTGTTTCAGGAAATGGTCCGAATTAGTCGAAAGTAAAGCGATAAGATGAGATAATTAATTGATGTTATTGATACAGTATTGAGAATATAAGAATTATTGAGGTTATGAGAATTATTGAGCGTACCTATCAAGATTTTGAGATTATCGAATTCGTGAAATGTTGAGAAATTGGTACATTATTAGGTGTGCTATGATGTGCAAAGGTTGGCCAACCAAACGTCAAGTGAGCTCAAGGGTTTCATCACGCGAACTCGAGCGCGAACTCCCGGAAAATGTTCTACATTGTAGGGATATTTGAGCTATATCGAAAAGTTAGGATATTAGACAAACGTTTCAATAATTAGAGCAGGGAGGATGGACTCTGAAGCAGATCTGACACAGATGCACATATGAAGATAGCACGCAAAGTGAATATTATTTTGGTACCAAAGGAAGTACATATTGTGAAGAAAATGGGTATCAGAGAATCAGAATCACATTGGTAGAAAATAGGGAGCCGATATCGATAGTAGTTAACGCAAGATGAGCATGTTTCCAAAAGTAATTGTCTTATTTCCAGAGGAAATCGTTGTCCATTTAGTAAGCGAACATGTATTAATCGTTTTTTTGTTGAGTATGTTTAAGGGCAAGAAATGCATGAAGAAAGAAGGAGTTCTAAGAAGAAGCCATCATGAACCGAAACTGAGCAGAACCTATTGTTATGAAGAACGATAAGCAAAACCAGGAAGCTTACTGGTGCTAACAACAAGACGACCGAGATGACGAGATGACAATTTGACAATATCATGGAACGAGAGATAAGAAATTCTAGGCAAGTATTATTTCCCCTCCGGAAAAATAAAACGCCTACTTCACTGTTTCATCAAGCTAATGGCAGAAACTCGCGATTCATATATTATAAATTTACAGTCTTGGGTTAGTTGATATTTCTAATAGATATTTGCATTCGAACGAATTTGTTATTGTTAACAAAATCGAAATGAGGCCACCAATTAATACACACTTTGTTATTATTCAATTTTACTCACACTATAAGTGTAGGTATTTGATATACCAAAATATTCAGAATAGCTAACATATTAGGAAGTCAAAATCTAGGAATACAAATCAAGGTATTTCTTGGAAGGCAGTCATTCCGATTAAATGACATTCGCTTATGAAACAGAAGTATTTCAGCAAATCCAAATTGGGAAAAAATTTAAATGGTGAATGTTTTTCATATTTGAAAAACCAAAATTCAGTTCAAAAAATAATAATAATATTAATAATAATAATTAGCAGGGAAACAAGACATAAGAAATGGGTTGTCATTATGTTTATCTAGTTCGAATCACCATCCGAAACAGTTTTGCTTATAAATAATATCCGAGTTTCGAGTTCGCGATTGTTATGATATCAGGTATCATAACACATACATGAGGTTCAAGTTCAACGATAGGAAAATAATGATATATAAATGGAAGCGGCATTTTTAAGTAAGACAAATTTCAATACGTTATCTGGAAGATTTTATTATGGAAAAATTAAAGGGAAAAAACAATATAATGAGGAAAAAAAATGAGTATTAGGATTATCGATGGGTTAATGAAAGAGGTTAACAGTTTAACCGAGTGATGCATGCACTGGGGTCAGTGACAATGACATGTAACGGTCAATGTCAATATTCGAGTAAAATAAAAGCGGTCACCTCGATACCGGCATAATAAATCCAATAAAGTTTCAAAATAATAATAGAAATAGTCACGCGGTACGTTAATCGGTTTAATTTTATTTATTATAATGAGTCAGATGGGTATCACAATATAAAGTTTTTTATATATAAGATTTTTACTGCCATATATTTTCTGTTTGTTTTCATGTGATCGCACACACAAAGGCACTGATGGGTTTCATCGTACAAGAAGTGGACGCACAGTTCTGGCATCAACAACAGCAGGAGGCATGAATAGGCTGACGACATCCCGAAGGGCAACCGTTAAGGGTACCACTGCAACTAACAAGAAGGGCTATCGTAACCATACCTTGCCAGCAATAATGGACCGTTGTTTTAACAGCAACGAACGGCAGTGATGAATACAGAGAGCCATGCAACGATTGATGGAGAGATGGCATCTCTACAGCCGCTGGATAGCATCCTCAGGGCAAACCAAACTCGGTCATTAGAGGAAATCAGGGAAGACGTTACCGGACTATGGTATTTAGCCAACCCAGATGTTCAGCATACCTCCGGGCCGTCGACGCCATGCCAGGAAGTCCGTCCTAGGTTAGTTAGCCAAGCCAGGCTGATTAACAATAGCTGACTAGTCGTGTCAGTTAATCGACAGTAATGAAGCCAGATGCCAGAAGAGCCGAGATGAAACCCAGAGACTACAGTTTGGAGTGCCTAAAGACAGTGAAGTGTGTGGATGAACTCACAAATTTAAGTTGTACTATATGGACAGTTTTTAGATAGTTTTTTTTTATAGGAATTCTCAGAAATTTTCAGTGATTCCCAGTAATTTTTTTGAAGAATGATTTATGTTAAGGATAGGAGTTTTTTTTATTATTAGATTTGTATGATGATAGGTTAGTACGTAGTGCTAGGAGTACCCATCTGACCATTTTTTAACGACGGAGGCCGTCGTTTTCAGAGGAGGGGCATGTCACAAATAGGGTTATTTTTCATTCATTCATTCAAATTCATACAAGGTTCGAAGTCATTGAACGGTCGCGTCTTTGTTTATTAATTCCAAAATTTTCGAATCGTGAACGAACTCTTTTTTCCATAGTTGAACATAAACACAGGCGTGACATTGACTTCAACGAACCTGGACTATCGACCTGATTTCCTTACTGTCACGTTTCCGAAAATAAAGACAACTATTTAAAAGACGTAAGGAAGCGGGTTCGACAGTTCGACTACCGGTTCGACTGCGAGTTGGACTGCCAGTTCTTATTGTAGCTCTGTTTTTTCAACACGACCACGGGAAGTCTCTTCTTGATGTTGAATCATCTCCGATAAAATGGCTTGTCGGTCCTTAGCCCGAAAATCAGGCGCTTAGGACTCTGACAAGGACGCGTCGCGAATTTACCGTAAGAATGATAAATACGTTTTCATCGGTCGTCTGAAGCTGTGACACTGATGCCCTTCCTCCAGGTCTCAGAAGATAGCATGTACAAGCATAAGGTATGTTTTAAATTGTTATTCATATTCTGATTCTGAATAAATGTGTATATTTGTTGTTTTGGAAATGATTTCACTTTTTTTCCGACTATTCATAAATTGCCAAGGTTCATTCTCTATTGACAAAAAGAACACAGCTTAGGCAACCCCCGCCTACAGTTTGTGACAATTTTGATCGACGATCTGTGTGAATGAGACTGTTGTCTTGAATTGAATGAAATGGCAATCACTCCTAAAAAACAATATTGTGTCTTCTCCAATTCTTGGCTATGAAATTTTTACCGTTGTCTCAAGCCATGCACTGATTCAAAAATAGAAGAAAAAGAACGATACACATCGATGTATTCTTTCCTGAACATGTAGAGGAAGGAAGATGCGAGAAGAATCAAACTATCCATGTCCTTGGTCGTCAAAATCATTGTGATTATGTCTTACTACTTTAAAATAATAATAATTAACCAGCCTTATCGTATACCTGATAGGCTACTGACTGAGGACCTTCAATTTGTATTAGATAGTGAGACCAGATAGCCGTGCGGACAGAGTGTCAGTATTCTAATCCGCATTCGCTAGCCGGTCGTGGGTTCAATTCCCCGCGACTGCAGAAGTTTTCCTGATGGCCCAAGAAAGTGTTTGGGATCACACGTTAAAAGGTAAGGCCCCCGTCATTCCTTGCTCGTACAAGACTCTCGAAGACTTCTGAGGCAACCAAATGACGGATAGAACAATTTTAGAACAACAACAACAATTTTAGACGTGTTTTCCGACTTGAGTTCACTGTTGGGTCTCTCTGTAAACAGTGGAATTTGATAAATCGGACATTGCACTCATTTTTGGACAACTGTAAGAGTAGCTTTTTGAATCGCTCAAAAATTGGTTGTACCCTGGTCAGCTGATATAGAAGTTCGTCTGATGGATTGTGTAGTGATCCGTACCTTCATTAATATATATAATCGTCAAAACAAAAGTGTCAAGTACATTAAAGAAGAAGAAGAACATTCATCCCTAACCGTTCGTTTGTCTTTATTCATTCCAGATAGTCTTTTTTTTATTGTCCATGTGCCTTTTCTGTATGGTGGCGTGCGGTATCTGGGAATCCCTGGTCGGTCGCTACTTCCAGAAGTTCCTACCGTGGGACACGCTGGTGCCTTCGGAGCCGCTAGGCGGCGCCACTATCATCGCCTTGCTCGTCTTCTTCTCCTACGCCATCGTCCTCAACACGGTCGTGCCCATTTCTTTGTACGTCTCCGTCGAGGTCATTCGGTTCGTGCAGAGTTTCCTCATCAATTGGGACGAGCAAATGTGCTACGAGAAGACTGGCACTCACGCCAAGGCCCGAACTACTACGCTTAACGAGGAATTAGGTGAGTGTGCCTTTACGAAAGTCGATCGGGATGGTTTTGAGCTCAGACACCGCGATTCCTCCATAAATTGTTGAGAAGTATACGTCAACAATCATAATCGATGGACACGGATGAATGATTGAAATCGCGAATGGTGTGGATAATAACAGTTATTTGTACATTTTCGGGTGAGCGCTCAGATCATATAACAAAGCAATTAATTGAAGGGCTTGTTGTGAAACAATAACAAGGCACAGAAGAGTCCAAAATGAGTTAATGTACTTCTCGGTTGAAGCAATAGTATAACAAGCCTCTACAAAATTATTACGGGCCTTCGTTAATGAATAGAGCGAAAAAATTATAGTCACATTATTGCATGGGTCTATTTTTTTCTCCAGTTACTACCCGACATAATGACAAGCCACACAAAATGGCCGACACGAGCGGAAGCTGTTCCGATAATGCTGTGAATTCTGACGATTCTAGCAAGAAAAACAGTGATATTGAGTCGACATTCAATGACAGTGACAATGACACTAACTTTGAACAATCTAGAAGTCACTCAAGTAATGAAAATATAGCAGTATGATTTTTTTTCCCAAATTGGCTTGTCACATTATTATCATTCTAAAATAAAGCATAATAAAGTGTTATTGTAATGGCATGTCACGTGGCTTGTTATATTATTGCATTTTGTTGTAGGAGAATAAATAAAAAATGAGAAAAAAATAAACACATCCGAAAAAATCGATGGAGACATAGAAATTAATAGTGTTATTTGGAATCGAATAGAAAATTTTTACAAAATTTAGAGCAACAATGTGTAGGATTTTGGGTAATCATTCTAAATGGGATAATGTAACAAGGTACATTTTTTTCAAATAAAGCTTGTGTTTTCTCAAGTTTGAAGTAGTTTTATTAATATTATTGTTAACCATAGTCGCATAGGGCATGAAGCATTGACCTAAATAAAACTGAAACCAATCAAGTTGTTACCCGATATCATTTTAAACATTCAAAGTCAAATATCTCATTTTCACCTTTTTGAGGCATGTCATTGTTTCACAATAAGCCCGTCAATTCTTAGATCATTAAAAAGTATATACTTATACTCCAACAATCCTAAACGCCAAACACTGATGAATGAATGAAATCGCGAATGGTGGGGACAATAACAGGATTTGTACATTTGCGGGTTAATACTCAGACTAAATAACAATAGATATACACCGCGACTCATTCACAATTCATTAAAAATATGCGCCAACAATCATTAACGCTGAACACGGTTAAATGAATGATATCGCGAAATGTGGTGATAGTAACAGACTTGTACATTTGCGGGTGAGTGATCAGACTAAATAACAATAGATAGAGACAACGCGATTCATTCATGAATCATCGAAATTTATGCGCCAACAATACTAAACGCCATAAATGGATGCGGAATCATTGCCAGAGAATTGATAGAGTTAGAGCGAAGTTATCCCCACCATTCGTGATTTCATTCATCTATCTGTGTGTGTCGTTTAGGATTGTTGACGTTTACTTTCTGATAATTAATGAATGAATCGCTGTGTCTATCTCTTGTTAATTAGCCTGAGAGTGTCTGAAGCTATCCTCGGCGGTTCTAAGTGCGCATTTCCTCCGCTTTCAGGCCAAATAGAGTACATTTTCTCCGACAAAACCGGCACGCTCACCCAAAACATAATGACCTTCAACAAGTGCTCGATAGCCGGCATCTCCTACGGTGACGTCATCGATCAGCGTACCGGCGAGGTGATCGAGATCACCGAGGACACGGACCCGTTGGACTTCTCCTTCAATCCCGACTACGAACCCGAGTTCCGGTTCTACGACAAACATTTGCTGGACAATGTACGGAGAAGGGATGAGCCTGCTTTCGCGTTTTTTCGCCTGTTGGCGTTGTGCCATACGGTGATGTCGGAGAATCGCGAGGGTAGGCTGGAATACCAGGTAATCACATTTCAACTCTTTTCGATTTTTTGCCTCACGTGTTTTATTGAAAGTATTACACACCCTTCCACTAACAGCAAATTTTCTCATACCATAAAGGGCCTTCTTTTGTTCATATGGAGTTCTAGTAGTAAACGCAGGAACACGCCAACATTGTAAAACAGGGGTTTCCAAACATTTTTTATATGTTCTGGTTCCCACGAAAAGGGATATCCTGTAATGTTCAGAGAACCAAGGGAAATGAGGTAGGAATTGGTGTTATTCTTCTTGAATTTCTGGAGGTTATATGCCTCGGGGAACACCTCCCTTGGCAAGGTGTTCCAGAGCCTCGCTGTTCGTTGGATGAACGAGTCTTTGGAAAGAGATGTTCTGCAGATCTCCAAAGTGACCACAAAGAGGTGCGAAGCCTCAGCTCGACTGGTTAATCTCGCGGGGACTGCCAAGGGAGGAACAATTGTTGATATTTCAGAAGAGCATCGTCCATGAAAATATCCATTAAATAGAGCCAGATCGCCAACATTTTTACGGTATTCCAGAGAAGTGAGTGAGTCTGTGAGCGAGGCATCACCCACGAGAGGAATTGCCCTTTTTTGGACAGAATCCAAGAGTTTCAGGGTATTTTTGGGTGCTGCACTCCAAATATGGGAACAGTATTCCAAGACAAGTCGGATCTGTGGCTTACAGATCATAAGCAGCTAACTGTAAGTGAAATAGCTCCTGGCCCGAAACAGAAAACCAAGTTTTTGGGATGCACTTTTAGCAATCGATCTCACGTGATTTTTCCCAAGAAAGATTATTGCTGATAGTAATACCAAGCATCGAAATGGATGTCTTCAAAGCTATGGTTACTCCAATTTTGGCCCGCCAGTGTCATCTACAGTCACTGGATGGTATCAGTTAGATACGAGTTTGTCAGAAATGACAACTGTTTGTGTTTTTGAATGTTTAGAACTATTAAGTTAACACACCTTGCATTGTGACAAGAGCCCCATAGTCGTCCCGCGATTTTTCATTCAAAATTGTTTAAATTTGACAATACATTCCATGAACGTCCGAATTGAAATATAATTCCATAAACTATTGAGAAGAAGGCATGAATGGAAGTTTCCTGCTGTGTGTGGAAGGAATGTATGAAACTGTCTGGATGGAAAATTTGAACACAAGCAGAATTCGTGAGGTACATACATCAAAATTTACTTATTATAACAGTAGATTAGAATGTAACTATATTTTAGACCCATTTTTGAACAGGAGATTTCAAGATCCGTTACAGAGAATCTGCTGCTTCGTCCATTAGCAAACCAGACTTTTCAACAAAAATCTATTATTATTATTATCGCGTGAACTGCAAAACAAAATTATCATGGAGAAAGAGAAACTGATTGCAAAACTACGTAATGAAATTGAAAATTTGAGAACAAACAGAGGGAGTCAAGTAAATTGCTGTGTCCAAGGTAAGGATGTCTATCATGGAAATAGTTTTCATTTTTTTCTGATGTTAATCGAAGAGATATAGGAAAACAGACAACACTTCCTCATTCCCATTTTTGATGCTCTACAAAATAGCGTTGAGACAATCTCGGTACGACGTATCGTTTCAGGGAATCCATCATCAACTATAGGCCATGATAGACATCCTCATCTTGGAGGAGAGGTTTATCAAATAATTTTATACCAAATACCCACCTTTTTTTTCATCACAGAATCACCCCTTCAATTTTTTTGATGTTATTTAGATATAACTCGAAAAACAATAAAATGATTCATCAATTTCTCTCGCTAGTCGCTCTCTCAATAATACTACTTCTGTCGGGTCACCTGCCGATATTCATATCAGATCCAAGTCATTCCAACCTTCCGAGCAGCGTCTCAAAGGCCTCAAACATAAAGCACGGAGTGCCACAAGGCTCAGTCCTTGGACCAATCCTTTTCCTTCTCTACGTGAACGATATGGCTTCTCTAAATATAAACGGTACAATCACATTATTTGCTGATGACACAACCATCCTTCGGCAAGAAGAGAATAGCTCTATATTAGAATCAAATATAATGCAGGATATAAAGATTATCAAAGATTGGTGTGAATCAAACCTCCTTTCTCTAAATATTAAGAAAACCAACATCCTGACTTTCCATTGCAATATTCCCAACTTGAATATTGGATGTGAGGTGATAGAAAATAAATTGTCTACTAGGTTTCTTGGCTTATTCATAGATAATAAGTTGTTGTTTACAGAACATGTGACAGGTTTGTGTAAAAAACTGGCTTCTGGATGCTATGTTGTAAAAAACATTGCCACGGAATTAGGATCTTCATCTGCTAGAACAGCATATTTTGCCTTAATTGAGTCTCACTTGAGATATGGAATAGCATTTTGGGGGGCCTGCAGTGATCATTTATTCCAGAGACTTATTTAAAAATTATAATATTTTAACTGTGGTTTGTTTATACATATTAGAAACATCGTCTCTAATTCAAAAAAACGAATATGACTTACAACTTGTCTCGTCACGATACAATACAAGGCAGAATGGTCAAATTAAGTTGATAAGACCCCGAACCACTATGGTCAAGAACTCGATCATTTATAATGGAATAAAAATATTCAATCACCTTCCAACTGAGATCAAAGAAATATCATGTGATAAAAAGTTTCGCACTAAAGTCAAAGCACTACTCGTCCAAACTCCACTCTATAGCCTGGATGAATATTTTTCATTGGAGTTTTGATTTACTGAATAGTTATAACTTTTTTGAATTTGAAATGAAGTTTCAACTAGGTAGACATAGCTCTATACGAGCTTTTGAATGTTGTTTGTTATTTGTCGTACTTTGTGTTATTTATTTTCATGTAATTTAACAATCTTTGTCAACAAGTGTGTTTTTACTTATGACAATAAAGCATATTTTGAATTGAATTGAGATTTTTCGCTAAAATCTTCGAACAGTTTCTATGAACACCCAGCCAATGTGGCTATTTTCCAGAAGATCGCGTAAGTCTGTTCCGGAAAATGTAGCCTCGCAACAATAAATAATTTCAGGCGCAATCTCCTGATGAGGCCGCTCTAGTGTCGGCCGCCCGCAACTTCGGCTTCGTGTTCAAGGAGCGCTCGCCCAACAGCATCACCATCGAGGTGGCGGGTGTCAAAGAAGTGTACGAGCTTCTGTGCATCCTGGACTTCAACAACGTGCGCAAGCGCATGTCGGTGATCTTGCGCAGGGAGGGCAAGCTGAAGCTGTACTGCAAGGGGGCGGACAACGTTATTTACGAGAGGTTGAAGTCTGCCACTGACGATGTTAGTCACAGGACACAGGAGCACTTGAACGTGAGTATGAGAAGGCACAAAGTTGCTAATTCAAAAACCTGTTTTTTTTCCTTGAATAAATCGTGATCTTTTTCATTAAATCGTGATGTTTTTTATTTCAACAGTATTTTCATTATACTGATTTTTTCCTCAGATATGGAAATAATTATCTCCAACAGTAGATTGTTTTATTTGGGGTTTCTGTTCCAAGAATAATTTCAACAAAATATCTACTATATAAAAAAGCATTAAAAGTACTGTATCGTCTTCCATATGACACCCCATCAAATCAACTTTATGAAGAAACAAATACATTTCCTTTGGAAGAGCACTATCTGAAAAATACTCTCAAAATGTCTTTGATATTATCAACAAACACCTCAAATCTAACTTCATATTGGTAAGAAATTCTCAAATCCATGAACATCATACTAGACTAACTAGATTAAAACTTTTAAAAGTTTTAATCTTCTCCTGAAGATGCTAACATAGTTAGCAAAACACGTGTCGAGGCGTTTAAAAAATCGGTTTGTTTAGTGGTAAAACAGTTAAGTGTATTATCGTGCTAAAGGTTCCAGTCTTCGATATATAGAAATGCAATTCATATTGCAATCCATCTTTTTTATTGATTTTATCGATAAATCTTGTTTCAACAACACGTCGTCTTTTGAAAGCTCCAACTGCGTAGCACAGTTAGTCCGGGTAGTCTTGAGTGCTGTTATGAGTCCTTTGTGAAGAACTTTAAGGTTGGATTTGAATAGATCCTACTCGAAGGACCAATATTTATGATGTTCGATATACAGGGTGTTTAAAAAAACTGACCCCCTCAGTAGGGTAGGTAGAACACTGCAAAATAGGTTGGGTTTACTCAGTAAAAAAAATTCGTTACGGCATCCGTTATCAAGATACAAGGTGTTGAAAAAATGATTTTGTTACACATTTTTCAAGATTATGTCGAGATTTTTTTGATCGAATTGCAATTTTAATATCAATATTTATTTCATCACCATAATATATCATATAACGATACAAATACAGTCCACTATACAGGGTGTTTCAAGAAACCCTGACCTCCTTGCTAGGGTAGGTAGAACACTGCAAAATAAGTTGGTTTTGCTTAGTGAAAAAATGTCGTAACCGTTTTCATGATACAAGGTGTTGAAAAAATTATTTTTTGACACATTTTTCACGATTATGTCGAAACTACTGGCAACATTGTGATGAAATTTTCTATGGATGTTTCTTGGAATCTGACACATCGCATGCATTTGTTTTTATATCTGACTATCATAGAGGGCGCTAGTTACACGGTTCGTACCGAGTAGTTTTGAAGATAACTTTTTTGAGGTCAGATTTTACAATCCAAATTTGATGTGAACTTGGACATCATTCAATTTCTCACCAAAAAGGTACTCTTGGTAAAACTCGATACTTTGTTCCGTTTTCGGAATATTTCGATTTGAAAATGATGAAGTGATAACTGTTGCTGGTATAAAGCTATGTAATAGAGCGAGTATTATGAAAAATTATCACCTATTTATTGAAAACCTAAAACAACAATATATTCCTGATGCTAAACTTATTGATTTAAAAATGAATCACAAGAATAACATCGAAACAGATTTGACTAATTAATGGATTACACAGTTTTGTTGTATCTAGAGCAGAAAGTCTGAGCTACATAGGTAAATTCACGTCAAGAGTTGTAAAACATAATTGTACATCACTCAAATGACCTTACAGCTGATCCTCAACTGTTTATTAGAAGAATAATACATTCTTAAGAAAAGAATATAGAATCGTGTATTCGTCGAAACGTAGGACATTTTGAACACTTACTGGAACTGATTCAATATTTCACGTTTCTAGTCGAATATCTCTTAATTTTCTACTTATGATTCTTTGTTCCATCAATAACTTCAGCACAAGAATGATTTTATTGTATTTGAATCCGAATAAATAGGTAATTGAACTCATAAAATTCATTTTATACCAGCATCAATACTACTCCAATATTTTCAAATCGAAATATTCCGAAAACGGAACATAGTATCGAGTTTCACCAAGAGTTCCTTTTTGGTGTAAAATTGATTGAGGTACAAGTTCATATCATATTTGGATTGAAAAATCTAACCTCAAAAATGTTATGTTCTAAACTTCTCGGTACGAACCGTGTAACTGGCGCCCTCTATGAGAGTTAGATATAAAAACAAATTCATGCGATGTGTCATATTTCAAGAAACATCCGTACAAAATTTCATCACAATTTTGCCAGTAGTTTCGACATAATCGTGAAAAATGTGTGAAAAAATCATTTTTTCTGTGACGGGAAAAAAGTTTGGCATTTCATTCCTGTTGGCAGGTTATAAAATGTCACTTTTCATAAATTACTTTTTTCCCGTGGGAAAAAAGTGAGTACTTCTTTCCCGGATATATATCACATATATATACACTGTTGATGGCTTTTGTTGTGCTATAGTTCCGAAAAATGAGTCAATAATACCGTCTCCGAGAAAGAACTGCAAGTCCTTTTATCTTCCATTCGACTTGGCGGTTACGTATATTACTAAACAACCACTGAATTCGCAATTTCTTGAAATAAAATCACAAAATTAGACTGACGGAAGTGACATCAGATATTTGATTACTTCAAATGAATGATAAAGATGCCTACAACGCGGTGTCCCTACTGTTAGAAACTTAAAATTTCACGTCGATAATTTTCAGATATCAAAATAATGTAATATCTTCTCAATATTGATTCGTCCTTTCTTCTGTCACAGAAAAAAATAGTGTATTATACACGGGAAAAATATTAGATTTTAGCTCACGGTTTGTTGTCTCCCTCCGCTACGCGTCGGGAGACAACACAACCTGGAGCTAAAATCTACTACTTTTTTCCCTTGTATAATAAATAACTATTTTTCAACACCTTCTATCATGAAAACGGTTGCCGTTACGACATTTTTTCACTATGCAAAACCAACTTATTTTGCAGTGTTCTACCTACCCTAGCAAGGAGGTCAGGGTTTTTTGAAACACCATGTATAGTTGACTGTATTTGATCGTTATATAGGATATATTATGGTGATGAAATAAATATTGATATTAGAATTGCAATTCGATCAAAAATATCTCGTTCTCCAGAAATTCGCTGGCGAAGGTTTGAGGACGCTCTGCCTCGCCTCGTGCGACCTCGACGAAGACTACTTCCATAATTGGAAGCAGCGCCACCAGGAGGCGGCGGTGTCGATGGAGGGCAGAGACGAACTCTTGGACGCCCTCTACGAGGAGATCGAAAAGGACATGGAGCTGATCGGCGTGACAGCCATTGAGGACAAGTTGCAAGATGGTGTGCCGCAAACCATCGCCAATCTGATGTTGGCCGGGATCAAGATTTGGGTGTTGACAGGGGATAAACAAGGTGAGAAAAGAAACTTTGAAGCGCTCTTTGCATATTACACGTTGAGAACAAAAGTGTGACAACTCAACAAAGTTGATTTTTGAGTTGAAACCACCGTCGGATAGCAAATTTCGAGCTCTCTACTTCTAGAGTATCGTGACATCTCTAGATCCAATTGTTGCTGGGTGACAGCGCTGGTCAAATTATTGCAATAGAGAATAAATAGGTGTTCTGCTTTGTCACCAGTCTTCCAAGGATACACTTCTTATTTTGATTCTGAGGAAACTTTTATGGTGAATAATGTGACATGTCATAAAGTCACCTCATTGTTCAAACACAATTTCTAGGTTCTTGAGATATCACGTAAATGATTGTTTGTGAAATAATTAATGAATTAGACGCAACGATTCTTCGATTTGTAACGTTAACAATATGGGATATTTCTGGTCTGTCACATTATAGCATGCATTACAGTTAATACAATGGAGTAGGCAAAACACATGAGGCGATTCTTGTTCACTATAATATGGCTGTTATTTTGAGATATCCTAATGATATGTAAGTTTTGTTCACTCTTTGTAATTTCAATTATAGAACAGTCGATAATACTTCATGAATGATCTTATACCAGGAATCACTGTGATCATTCATGTCATTCGTACTAGAAAATTAATTATACTTTATATATTATCTGCATGAAATGTATCAATGAAGAAGAGAATGTAATGCAATAACTGAAATGAATAAATAAATAAATAAAAATATTTCGAAATTTAGGAGAGAGCCTTCAAAAATAATGAGACATCCAACACTAGAATGAAACTTTCGAATAATATATGTGATTTGAATATTTTACTTTAATATGGAATACTTAGCTTCAACTTAGTACCCAATTATGTTTAAATTGAATTTTTGAAAAATGTAGCCTAATTCCTTATGATTAAACAAACATCTAGAAACATGAGAAGGCAAGATTGCATTTTATTTAAGTCAGAAAATTATCAAAGTGGATTTTGAAGCTGTTAACTGGTACACCTGTGTCGCAGGCATGTTTTTTTCGACATTTTTGTTGCTATAGAAACCTGTTGAAGTAATTATATATGTGTCAATTTTGATTTGCGAAAATTGCGAATATAGTGGTTGTTCAGTAATTTACGGAACCGCGAAGTGTAATGGAAGATGAAAAATACTTGAAGTTGAAGACGGTGTTATTGGTTTATTTTTTGGAACTGGCCCAACGAAAGCCATCTACAGTGCACCTATATATCCGGGAAAAAAGAATCACTATTTTCGAGATTTTATGGAAAATTACATTTTTTTCTGCGACGGGAAAAAAGTTTGGCATTTCATCTCTGTTGGCAGGTTATAAAATGTCACTTTTCATGAATTAATTTTTTTCCGTGGGAAAAAAGTGAGAAATTTCTCCCGGATATATATCACATATACAGGGTGTTCCGAAACTATTGTGCCAAAATTCAAGGGTTGGTAGATCTCGCCAAAACAAACGTTTTTCACTTATTAACCCATAGGCGCATGCGCATGCGTTCAGTGATAATAGCGCATTAAGGTCCGCGCAGTGGTATCCAACCTCGGACACGGGGAAACGTGTTTGTACCGGAAATCGTGTTAGTAAATGACACGAAATCACAAGCAATATATGGGAGAGTTTATAAAAAAAAAAACACTACAATTTAGATAGAGTTAGGTTTTACACATTGCCACGACGCAATAATAAATGAGAAGTCTACGCAATACGAGTGTCGGGAGCGCAGCGATTGGTCTCGATCGTCAAAATCGGTAGAGCTGAGCACTCAATATCGATATTATTTATTTATGTATGTACATACGTCAAAATCGGTAGAGCTGGGCACTCAATATCGATATTATTTGAGTATGCACATATGTTAAACTTTTTTCTTGTGATACCTATTGGTACCGAAATAAGATGCATGCGCCTATGGGTTGATGAGTAAAAAACGTTTGTTTTGGCGAGATCTACCCACCCTTACATTTTGGCACAATAATACCGTCTCCGAGAAAGAACTGCAAGTCCTTTTATCTTCCATTCGACTTCGCGGTTACTATTACTCAACAACCACTAAATTCGCGCAATTTCTTGAAATCAAATCACAGAATTAGAATGACAGAAGTGACATCAGATATTTGATTTCTTCAAAAGAATGATAAAGATGCCTACAACGCAGGTGTCTCTACTGTTAAAAAATTGAAATTTCACGTCGATAATTTTGAGATTTCAAAATAATGCAATAGCTTCTCAATATTAATTTATCCTTTCTTCTGTCACAGAGAAAATTAGTGTATTATACACGGGAAAAATATTAGATTTTAGCTCACCGTTTTAAGACAACCTGGAGCTAAAATCTACTACTTTTTTCCCTTGTATAATAAATAACTATTTGTAACCGGTCAACAGAGATGAAACGTCAAAATTTCCTCCCATCACAGTAAAAAATACTTGAAAATTGCGGTGTTTACATCCTGCCTCAGATTCAAGACACACCAAATCATGATGCCCGTAAACTCCATAAATCTTCTTGCAGAAACGGCCATTAACATCGGCTACTCCTGCCAACTCCTCACCGACGAGTTCGTCGACATTTTCATCGTGGACGCGGCCAACTACGACGAGGTGCACCAGCAGCTGCTCAAGTTCCGCGACAACATCAAGATCGTGCGCACGTTCAAGCCGCGCACGCGCACCTCCAACGGTCGGGCGGGGGCCGGAGACCCGCCCGACGCCGCCCCGAGGACCGCCCCTAACGATCCGCCCAATCCGCCCGCTGTCAGCGTGGTCACTTTCAGGTGGGACGAGGGTGACGTAGAAAGGTCGAGAAGCAGGTAGATTGCGGAGAAAGGGTGGGGGGGTGCTTAGCTATCGGGACATCTACCGTTTTCTTCTTTTCTTGCGTGCGAATTTGAGATCGTTCGCCACGGTGTAATATAATGGATGAAGTCACATGGTATATGTATTTCTCTTTATTTAATTATAAACCGATTTATACACTATCGAATATGGAACATTGCCAAGTAACGAAATACTATAAAATACACAGAGGCACAAAAACTACACTGGATAAAAATAGATAACATTGACAAAAAGTCGTCTTTTACACTTTTGAATATATTAATTGACACTTTCTTTGATGTCTTTCAAAAGGCTGTTGAAGATTTTATTTCATTTTGTTCATTTTGTTCTTTGTCTCACTAGATGCTTGAAACTTTGAGAAAACGAGCATCTATCATCAAACCAATCTTTATGCTAATGGTTCTCGAATATGTTCTTTCTCTATGATGCTAGCTACTTCTCTATTTTGTTTAACTCTTGTCATTTCCTAATAATTATTTCAAAAGTTTGTCTGCACTGGATCTATTCCGGATATATCGATGCTTCTTTCTCTTGAGAATCTTTTCATTGTGTTCGTTAATCCTCATCTGTTGAAACTTCTTGGTTTCCCCAATGTATTTTTATGCAGTATAAAGTTCATTCGACATTGATTATTTGTACTTGAAGAATTCAATCCGCGCTACCTCTTCTTATTATTATGACGATAGGAAAAAAGAAGAGCGATCTGACGAAAATAGATTCATGATCACCTAGCAAAAGTGTCTTATCTGTTATATTACACCGTGCGTTACTAACAGCTCGATGGTACCTTCTTTCACTCTGAGCTAGAATAGAATTTTAGAGCTAGTTGAAATATTAACTTTAGGGTAAGCACTCACCTTTACAATGACTAGCTGAATCTAAATTTGTGTTTTTGGAAAATAATCTACCTGCTCTTTAATATACTGTGCTTTGAAAATAATATCATCCTATAGTAGTTTTTAGTATCTTAAGAATGTCAATTCAATGCACAATGACTAGATCTCTATGTGCCTTCAAGTCTCTAGTTCATAGACTTCTTGAATTGGTTGAACTCCTTGAAGAAATTGGAGTTTGCTGCATGAAAACACTTGAACTTTCAGGTGGGACAAAGGTGGCGCAGAGAGGTCGAGAAGCATGTAGAATTTCGGAGAGAGGGGGGGTGCTTAGCTATCGAGATATCTACCGTTTTCTTTTTTTGCGGGCGAATTTGAGTTCGTTCGCTCTCGTTGCAGTGTAATGTACTGGATAAAGTCTTAGGGTCAGTTTTTGCAGTCCCACGAGCATATGTCAACATCCACCAATGTAACATTCCAATATTTACGTCAACGTCATTCACATATGTTCATATGATGGTTGCTTCTTCAATTTTTTTGTTGGAACTTTGTATCGATAATTGTTAATGAAAAAGTTGAATGTTTATCGATTCCTAAATACCTTGTTTCTCACGCATTCCTTCTGTTTCCTCCAGATCTCCTGTTCACAATCTCTGCATTCCTTCTTCTGTTACTTTTTCTTCTTGTACTATCTTTTCTACTACTATTTCTTCTACTGGACACTTTTCATAATAATATGGATATTCACTATTTTCGTAATATTCTTTCTGTTTTCCCTTCACTTTCTCAAAAATCCATCGTGTGGTTATGCAGTGCCGGTCGGTGATCTGCTGCCAGGTGACCGGCCGGCATTACATTATCGATCTGAACCCTTCGATACCCAACAAATAGTAGTTTATAGATAGTTAGAAGTGGGGGAAGTTATTAGGCGTGTTTGTCGTAAATTTTACGACAGCATGTTCGCTGGAAGGATACATGATTCGAAAACTAAAATGAGGTGGATAAATCGGATTTTTCTGTTCATTCCAGCACCGAACTCGGGTACCTCGGCTCAACTGACCTCCAACCCCACAAATCTTACGACCTTTGCTTTGCGTTCGCCGTCAACGGTAATTTTTTGGTGCACTGCCTCCATCTGCAACTGAAAAGACACTTCGTGGAGGTGGGGAGGCAGTGCCGGTCGGTGATCTGCTGTCAGGTGACTGACTGGCATTGCATTACCGATATCTACCCTTCGCTACTCAACAAAAAGTTGTTCATTGATTGTTAAAAGTGGGGCAAGTAATTAGGCGTGTTTGTCGTACATTTTTTGACAGCGTGCCCGCTGGAAGGATTTAATATCATTCGAAAACTGGAATGAGATAGATAAATCGAACTTTGATGTTCATTCCAGCAACAAACTCGAGTACCTCGAGTCGACTGACCTCCAACCCCACAAATCTTACGACCCCGGCTTCGCGATCGTCGTCAACGGTAATTCTTTGGTGCACTGCCTCCATCTGCTACTGAAAAGACACTTCGTGGAGGTGATGAGGCAGTGCCGGTCGGTGATCTGCTGCCAGGAGACCAACCGGCATGGCATTAGCGATATCTACCCTACTCAACAAAAAATAGTTCATAGATAGTTAGAAGTGGGGGAAGTTATTAGGCGTGTTTGTTGTAAATCTTCTGACAGCGTGCCTGCTGGAAGGATACATGATTCAAAAACTGGAATGAGGTGGATATATCGAACTTTGCTGTTCATTCCAGCACCAAACTCGAGTACCTCGACGCAACTGACCTCCAACCCCACAACTCTTACGACCTCGGCTTCGCGATCGTCGTCAACGGTAATTCTTTGGTGAACTTCCTCCATCTGCTACTGAAAAGACACTTCGTGGAGGTGGTGAGGCCGTGCCGGTGGGTGATCTGCTGCCAGGGGACCAACCGGCATGGCATTAGCGATATCTACCCTACTCAACAAAAAGTAGTTCATAGATAGTTGGAAGTGGGGGAAGTTATTAGGCGTGTTTGTCGTAAATTTTTCGATAGCGTGCCCACTGGAAGGATAAATGATTCGAAAACTGAAATGAGGAGGATAAATCAAAGTTCGCCGTATCATTCCAGCACCGAACTAAAGTACCTCGACTCAACCGACCTTCAACCCCACAAATCGGATGACCCCGGCTTCGCGATCGACGTCAACGGTAATTCTTTGGTGCACTGCCTCCATCTGCAACTGAAAAGACATTTCGTGGAGGTGGTGAGGCAGTGCCGGTCGGTGATCTGCTGCCAGAAGACCAAATGGCATGGCATTACCGATATCTACCCTTCGCTACTCAACAAAAAGTAGTTCATAGATAGTTAGAAGTGGGGCAAGTTATTAGGCGTGTTTGTCGTAAATTTTTCGATAGCGTGCCCACTGGAAGGATAAATGATTCGAAAACTGAAATGAGGAGGATAAATCAAAGTTCGTCGTATCATTCCAGCACCGAACTAGAGTACCTCGACTCAACCGACCTTCAACCCCACAAATCGGATGACCCCGGCTTCGCGATCGTCGTCAACGGTAATTCTTTGGTGCACTGCCTCCATCTGCTACTGAAAAGACACTTCGTGGAGGTGATGAGGCAGTGCCGGTCGGTGATCTGCTGCCAGGAGACCAACCGGCATGGCATTAGCGATATCTACCCTACTCAACAAAAAGTAGTTCATAGATAGTTAGAAGTGGGGGAAGTTATTAGGCGTGTTTGTCGTAAATCTTTTGACAGCGTGCCTGCTGGAAGGATACATGATTCAAAAACTGGAATGAGGTAGATATATCGAACTTTGCTGTTCATTCCAGCACCAAACTCGAGTACCTCGACGCAACTGATTTCCAACCCCACAACTCTTACGACCTCGGCTTCGCGATCGTTGTCAACGGTAAATCTTTGGTGCACTGCCTCCATCTGCTACTGAAAAGACACTTCGTGGAGGTGATGAGGCAGTGCCGGTCGGTGATCTGCTGCAAGGAGACCAACCGGCATGGCATTAGCGATATCTACCCTACTCAACAAAAAGTAGTTCGTAGATAGTTAGAAGTGGGGGAAGTTATTAGACGTGTTTGTCGTAAATCTTTTGACAGCGTGCCTGCTGGAAGGATACATGATTAAAAAACTGGAATGAGGTGGATATATCGAACTTTGCCGTTCATTCCAGCACCAAACTCGAGTACCTCGACGCAACTGATTTCCAACCCCACAACTCTTACGACCCAGGCTTCGCGATCATCGTCAACGGTAATTCTTTGGTGCACGCCTCCATCTGCAACTGAAAAGACACTTCTTGGAGGTGGTGAGGCAGTGCCGGTCGGTGATCTGCTGCCAGGAGACCAACCGGCATGGCATTACCGATATCTACCCTTCGCTACTCAACAAAAAGTAGTTCATAGATAGTTAGAAGTGGGGCAAGTTATTAGGCGTGTTTGTCGTAAATTTTTCGATAGCGTGCCTGCTGGAAGGATAAATCATTCGAAAACTGAAATGAGCAGGATAAATCAAAGTTTGCCGTATCATTCCAGCACCGAACTCGAGTACCTCGACTCAACCGACCTTCAACCCCACAAATCGGATGACCCCGGCTTCGCGATCGTCGTCAACGGTAACTCCCTGGTGCACTGTCTCCATCCTCAGCTGGAAAGACTCTTCGTGGAGGTGGTGATGCAGTGCCGGTCGGTGATCTGCTGTCGGGTGACGCCTTTGCAGAAGGCCTTGGTGGTGGAGCTGGTGAAGAATCGGAAACATGCGGTGACGCTGGCAGTGGGGGATGGGGCCAACGACGTCTCCATGATAAAAGGTAAGAAATCGTCCTCCTGAATGATTCATTGTGGCCTCTTTTTTTGCTATACCTGATTAGGTATAGCTGGTAAACTTGGGTAATTATACATGTGATGAATTCACTATAATGATCTTGTCTGCAACATAAAGAATCCCAATTTCATCAATTTTTCACCCAAAAACGGTACCTCAAACCCAGATCTAATGAACAACATCAAAATATGTGGTGAAACTCTCTAATACTGTCAGGTAGCTAGATTTTTAGGAATAATTCAGGATCAAAAGCTAACATGGGAGTCACATATTGACAGTTTATGTGTAAAAGTTGGCAGTGCAAACTACGCAATTTGGAACCTGCGAGACACTGTCTCAACAAAACTTATAGAACTCATTCATTATGGACTGGTACAATCTAGGCTACAGTATGGATTGATCTTCTGGGGTAACTCTGCATATACTAATCGCATTTTCATGGTTCAATAAAGAGTCATTCCCTGTATGGACAAGGCTCGTTCACTGGACTCTTGTAAACCACTATTTAAAAAATTCAGCATCTTACAATTGCCCTGTCTTCATATTACAGCTAGTGTTATTCATCTATGATAATAAACACCTATATCCAAAAAACTCTGATATACATAATTACGATACTCGGGGTGAAGATACTTTATACTACCCCTACTCTCGCTTGAGTGTGAGTCAGAATTCCCCAAAATATTTGGGTATCAAATGCTTCAATAAAATAACAACTAGGGATCAATAAAAGTAAAACTGTAATGAGAAATGAACTGTATGGTTTCTTGTTGGATAACTGCTTCTACAGTATGGATAAATTTCTTGCTTTCAGTGCTTAGATAGTTTCTTTCATACATGTAGTCTGTTTTAAATTTGTTCAATATCAAACATTTGTGTTTTTTCTTTTCACTCTTTCGACTATACCTTTTCAACTTCAATTTCGGAATCGGTAAGTTATATTTCGGAAAATGTAATCTCGATTTCAGAATTGGTTAGTTCGATTTCAGAAATGCCGTTCCATCCACTGTAAACAATCTTCTCTTTTGCGATTAAAAACATTTCAAACATATAAAAGGATTTCATCTTCTGAAATTGAACCTACCAATAATAATTCTGAAATACAACTTACCATTTCTGAAATTGAATGGACTTTTCCTGAAATTCATCTCACCGATTCTGAAATTGAGTTTACCATTTCTGAAATCGAACTAACCAATTCTGAAATCGAGATTACTTTTTCCGAAATATAACTCACCGATTCCGAAATTGAAGTTGAAAAGGTATAGTCCAATAAGTTTTCTCATGTATTCAATTTTGTAATTGTGTATATGTAAAAATTTTAGTGATGAATGAACTATTTCTATTTCTAGTACCCGATGAGGTCGTTCTGTAGCTTTAGCATTTTTTCTAGTCCTACATCCCTTAGAAATATCAGAATTTGAGGTGGTTCCAGATAAGGTAGCTCCTCCTCCATTATGTGCTCTTTCTCTCCCTCAGGTTCTGTAGAATGATATTTTCCATAATTGATAAAGTATCCTTCCTCCTCCCCACAATCAGAAAACAAATTGGATTGCCTAAGGCATAATGCCAGCTTATGCTGAAAGCAAGAAGATTGAACGAAACGGGCGAACTGTTCGCTATGGAGAGTTCAGAAAAGCACCGTTAACTGCCACATTTGGTTGAATTTCAACTTTACTAATTCTAGAAACCTTTCTCATCATCTGTCATCGAATATGCCAAAATCATTCTGTGATTGCTTACTGCTACCGAATGTACAAGGTCGTTGAGCAAATATCTGGGGTACAGGGCCCCAATTTAAATAATAATACCTGTACACTTCATTTTCAATTTTATTCAAAACTATAAACATATCATATTAACCATTTAACCATGCTCATTATGACCATGTTTATGCTTTTTTCTTCTCCACAATAACTTCTTTCTGGCTCATGATGGATACCTTTTGGGTCCGAAACATGTCTCCCCCTTCTCGGATTTGAAATTAAGCGTTGTGGAGACGACTTTTTATTATATTTCATCATATTGTAATGATATTTCCCTCAAGGGGTCTCTAGAAACATCATCAGGATGACAAGAGTACAACGATCATCCTGTAAGACGCATCCCAGATCGTTCTCCAACCTCCCAATGATTCCTACATGCACCAGCATATTTCCGAACACTCAATATATGCCGCGGTGACAAATAACGTGACAGAAGATTCTGGAATGTTCTGGAAACAATCGATGGAACAATTAGAGAGAGAGGTATAGATCTAAGAAGCTTCTAGAACAAAACGAAGGGTACGGAAGATCATTCGAGAACGTTCGAGAAGCAAAACCTACCAAGGGATCTCATATTCGCGAGATTCACGAAGTGGGCGACATCTAGGTTACATAATACGAACTGGAGGAAAACAAACTGATGTCTATGGATGAAGTACATTGCATACAGCTTGCTGTGGCTGTAGTTGTCAAACTTGTCAATTGCCTAAGGTGTTGGCACTGTTGGTAGTGATGATGGTTGAGTTGGTTAATTTTTTTACATTATTACATTTTTATTAGTTTACTGAACAGTGAACGGGTGAAGAATTGGAGATAGTTCAAACAATTCAAACTAATCATGACGAGCAAATCAATTGACATATAGAAGAACAGCTACAACATGTTGACAATACACAGATTGTCCTTCATGTGGGGAAGATTTCATCGCCGAAATTTGTAGACAAAGTGCAAAAATGTGCCTTGTTGAAGTCTCCTGCCTCACACAAAATCACATGGTTAGCACGGAGAACTGCTTCTCCTTCCACAACTGGTCGGCTTTTTTCATCTAAATAGAGCAAAATATCTACCAAAAGAACATCTAGAACAGGCATTATTAGCGTTTTCGATCGAATAATGACAATTAATGTCAAGAAATTTAAAAACTTATCACTCTTATCAGTACACAGTACACAAGCTGATGGCACTAATGGGATTGAGTGAGGATTGAGTTTGTTTTCCCCCAGTTTTGACGTGGCTTTGACATGAAACGATGAAAACCGAGCGCCACCTGGTAACATTGATTCCCGCGAATATAAATGTATAAATATAAACGGCCGGACAACTGCCGTCAGTCAGTCAAGCAGCGGGTGTCAGAGAGACAGCTATATACCGCGTGATATAAATCGTTTTTACATAAATCGTAATTATGAGTTCTATATAAATTAGTGTTCCTTAAGTTGAAATAAATAAGTTCGAAAATAAATAGTGTCGTGTTCGCTTCTGCACCCGAATAACGTAACACTATGTTCCATTTCAGCCGCCCATATCGGTGTCGGTATTTCCGGCCAAGAGGGCATGCAAGCCGTCCTAGCGTCAGATTACTCGATAGCGCAGTTCAGGTTCTTGGAGCGCTTGCTGCTCGTGCATGGCAGATGGTCCTACTACAGGATGTGCAGTTTCCTTAGATACTTTTTCAACAAGAACTTCGCCTTCACGCTCTGCCATTTTTGGTACGCGTTTTTTTGCGGATTCAGCGCACAGGTAAGGGATTTTTCACTTTCGATGATGTGAAAGTTGACGATTTTCATGAAATATGTACCTAATGAAATTGATCGTCATTTTATGAATGTAGGTCCAAATTTATCTTCTAAAATAACAAGAAATTCTCAGTCTATGGAGGACTGTTCAAGAGTTTTATCTATGTTTCTGATGCCCCCAAGTATTTCAGAAGTTAAAGAAAATAATTGATGACTTAGATGTACGAAAATCTTGTGGATTCGACGGAATATCTGCTAAAATTGTAAATGTGATCAAAGTAGAATTAGCTCCGATTTTATTGTAAATTGTTACTAGATCTTTCAAAACTTGAATTGTACCAGATAAAATGAAAATTTCTAAAGTCATACCGCTATATGAAACTGGAAAAAGCGATGACATTAATCACTACAGACCGATTTCAGTTGTCCCGATCCTCTAAAAAATCATTGAAAAAATGATGAATAAGCGTATTCTTGATTTCCTTGAAAATAATGGTCTACTATACAGTGGTCAATATGGATTTCGCCGATCGAAAGTCAGTGAGGTAGCAGTTATGGATGGTATTTCGAATATTCAGTTTAAAATTGATCAAAATTATAAATGTGGTCTCTTGTCTTTAGATTTATGTTAAGCTTCCGATACTGTAAATCATGATATTTTACTGAGTAAAATATATTCGATAGGTATCAGAGGAAAAATATTTGATTGGTTGAAAAATTATCTGAAAAATAGAAAGCAGTATGATGAAGTCAATGATATTTGTAGCTCCATAAGGGAGATCAAATGTGGTGTACCACAAGGTTCCGTTTCAGGTCCAATTTCATTCTTAATTTACATCAATTCAATATCATCCTTTAAACTAAAAGGAGATCTTTGCAGATGATACTACAATAATATATCCCTCTAAAGAATTTAACGATATAGTTGATGATATAAAAGATGACTTGAAAATGATATCATCTTGGCTACAAATTCATAAGCTGACTTATAACTATGACAAATCTACGTATATGTATATTTTTGAAAAATAAAAACTGATATGTCGAAAACAACAATATTTTTCGACCAGGAAGCCATGTTACAAAATTCTTAGGTCTTTATATTGATGAACAATTATCGTGGACTAAACATATAGATCACCTGAGAAAAAAAGCTAAATCCAATTACAGGCATTTTATACAAAATTCGAAATTTCATTCCTCTTTATCTAAGAAGAATATAATTATATTTCTGTCTGATTTACTCATCAAAATTACAATATTCAAATCAATTTGGGGAAGCACAAGCATATCACATTTGGAACCATTAATGAAATTACAAAATAAAATAATTGAGTGCATTTACAATTCACATTACCTGGAATCAACTATTAATCTTTACAAATCAAAAAATCTGTTGAATTTATCATCTTTATTCATTTTGTGAGAAAAAAAATAAAAATATCCACCTTGAACTTTACTGAAGTAAAAACAATCCATACTCATGAAACGACAGTTGAATTCATTAATAGCAATCCATATCACTCCATTATTGGCAAACAATCAGTATTCTACAACGGAATCATTTTATATAATTCATTACCTTATGATTTGAAACATATTGATAATGAAACAAGATTCAAAGTCAATATGAAAAAATATATACTCATGACACTATGAACGGAGCAATTTATTCTCAGCTGAATACTTGGAATGAATACATTAAATTCAAACTCTAAGTAAGCTCAAGGTATACTATTGAAAAAAATATAGGGGTCAAAACAAGATTTGGGGCAATACCCCCTTTTCCGCCCAAAATTCTTCTCATCCCTATTATAAAGAAATATGTTTCTTGGGGTAATAAAGAACAACAACAACAATTTGACAGACAAAATTTGTAGCTTCTTTATCCCTTGGGTATAGGACAAAAATATGGTATAGATTGAAGGTACATTTTCTGTAGGCCTAGATGGTTTTCAATGCAAAATTACAAATTTTTGAAATTTGGCGGGAAAAATATGACACTTAGTTATGAGCGACAAATTATGGAATAGTTGAAGATTGAAAATGCCGAAATGCTTCTGCTAAGTTTATAGGGATGGACTTCTTTAGCCAGCCGGACTTCAACTCATTTCCGTTTCAGACTGTGTTCGATCCGATGTATATATCGATCTACAACCTGTTCTACACCTCTCTGCCGGTTCTGGCCGTCGGCATCTTCGATCAAGACGTCAACGATAAAAACAGCGTCATTTATCCGCAGCTTTATCGGCCCGGTCACTATAACTCCTTCTTCAACAAGAAGGAGTTTTTCCGCAGCGCCTTGCAAGGTTGTTTCGTTTCCATCGTACTCTTCTTCATACCTTTCGGTGAGCCTTGTTTTTTCTCTATGCGTTTGGAGTGTTTGATGTTTTTCTGTCGTAGGTACATACTTTGATGCGGTCAGTCCTAGGGGACAAGGTTTGTCGGACTACATGTTATTTTGTAGTGTGACTGCGGCAATATTGGTTATCGTGAATACTGCACAGGTAAGTTTATCTTTCCTTTTATTTCATTTCATTTATTTTTATTTATTTATTGAACAAATAACTTCCAGACAGAATAGGCTCTAGTATAAGGAAGTACATAATTATATACCTACTAGCAGACCTCGCAAACGTTGTTTTGCTATACAGGGTGGACCACCAGTAACGCCTCGGTCTCTAGAAGGCTAACCACTTATCTTCTTGGAATTCTTCTGAGTGGTGCAGAATTCAGAATCTTGATCACCCGGTATATGTCCCAATTAAATATCAGTAGATAGTTAATCAAAAGTTGAGATAGGGACATGTAAGCCGTTTTGACCAATTATGAATAGTTTCGACACAAAAAATTCTTGAACTTGGAAAATCTCGATTTCTCACACCCTATATCTCAGTAGTTATAACTGCTAGACCCCAAGTATGATGGATTGTTGAAATCAGCTCACCAGGGAGAATCTCAAAATGAAATAATATATAGGGTGTTCGATTGAAAAAACTTCAGTGGTTTGTGATTTTTGGGGACATCCGTATGTTTCAAAATAATTTCAAATGGTAGCCTATGTTGACATGCAACTTCCTAGAGAGGAAGAATTCCAAGAAGATAAGTGGTTAGCCTTCTAGAGACCGAGGCGTTACTGTTGGCCCACCCTGTATACATTGTTCTTATCCATCATTTAGTTGCCCCCTTACGAGCAACCCTCAGAAGTCTTCAAGAGACTTGTGCGAGCAAGGAATGACGGGGGTCTTACCTTTTAACGTATGATCCTAAACACTTTCTTAGGCCATCAGAAAAATGTCTGCGGTCGTGGTGGGAATCGAACCCACTACCGGTAATCCAACGGGGATAGAGCATTGATGTTGACGCTCTAACCACGAGGCTACGCTGGCATACCATTTATTTCAACTTATTTTTAGTTCACCTAAATTTGACGAAAGAATCATAATATCCGACTCCTAAAACCCCGGATGAAAATTTTGAAGAAAATCGGAACATAATTACAAAACTCGTCCGCAATATTGGATTACCATCTTGAATCCCCTAATTTTGACGAATGAATCATAATTTTTGATTCCGAAAAGGCCCACTTACAAATTTTGAATAGTATCGGTATATAATTACAAAACTCCTCCGGTATATTGGTTGCACCGTCTTGAATTTCCATCCAGCAGCACAGCACGGCTTCATTGAAACATATGACCTTGAACTGATTTGATTCGTTTTTTGAAGTTGTGACGTATGCGCAAAGAAATATTACACAGACTATACAATTCGGAACTTATACGTCACGGCTTCACCTTCATATCTGGCTTTTTGAAATATCAAATGGAATATGCTGATTTCAAAACGCTATAGAATCAATTCTCCTCAAGTTCAATTTGTAATATTGATTGTACATTAAATGTAAATCATGATTCATCGATTGGAGCAGGTTTTGGATGGATTTCATCGCTTAGTGTTGTTTCCCATGTTTCAAGCATTGTTCTAAATGAAAACCTAATTAGAGTAATTAGTGGCAAAAAAATCTCCTGGAGTGACCACATTTTCAGTAAGCTATTGAACTAAGTTTTTTATTTGTTATCCTAACCCTAAAAATTGTTTAAATTCCTATAAAGTTTGAAATTTCTCATGTTTAACATTTCAAGTAAGGAAACCAGGATTCAAGAAGAAAAAACTTTTGTGTATGCGATGATACAATAATTCTGGATTCATTGATGTTATTTTATTTTAAGTAGGAACTGGAAACTCATCAGTGCTGTGGTAAAACATTACTGATCACACTTTATCTAAGCTGAGAATAAAAGAGTAGGAACTGCGTATTTATTTTTGTATTGTCAATAATAACTTACTACCTTGCCTCCATTCCTAGAATATCAATTCAAAATCAAGCAAACAATTTGTGTGAGGTGACATCAACCTGAAATTGCCCATTTTGACAAAAATATTCGGAAAAATGAACAGACAATATTATTTTTTGGACAAAACTATCGACAGTAGTATACCTAAGCCGGTTCTAGCTAGGGTGTGCAATCCCGAAATACCGATACCGGAAATCCCGGGGTCCTAGTGATATTTTCATACCGAGATCCCGGGATCACATCCGATTAGATCCCGGGCATTTCGGGATTACTTTGAACAATAAGACTTCGCTTTCGTCAAGTGAATCAGATTATTATTATTCGAGGTTCCTGAAAAAAAGTTATTATGGAGATAGTCGTGAGTCATACAAAACGTTTGTTAATAGTTTCAGAGGCAATAATTGATGAACAAGATGATGACGAATATAGAATTCCTCTTGCGAGTCAAGCGTCACCTAGTGTATCACCGACTCAACCTATATAGATATCATATAACAAAGGAAATTACCCTTTTCGAAAATGGTGATAACAAAGATACATATCTTCTAACAACTATACCACTACCACTAACAAGTGTAGAATATGAAAGAGTACCTATTTTCCGCAGCTAGTACCATTTGCACAAAAATCAGCACTTACCATTTATAAGTGGATTTTTGTACGCTCCTGGTCCAGTCAACAGGAATAAATGTTCGGCCTTTTTTCTCTGTACTTTTTGATGTATAGATTACATTTTTTGTTCATATACGAGTATTTATGTGATCATTACGTATCTACAGTATACCCCATACTTTTTTCAAATTCTAATCCCGATACCGAAATCCCGGGATCCCGGGTTCGTATCAATTTGATCCCGGAATCCCGGGATTGTATTATCACTCCGGGATTGCAAACCCTAGTTCTAGCCCAAGATGGCCGATGATAACATGCCACCGACTTTTATGCGGATGAACATAGGAGAGCGTAGAAAAAACGCGAAAGAAACTTCTAAAAGACTGACGTGGATTTTTCTTGCAGATTGCCATGGACACCATGTACTGGACGGTGTTCAACCATGTCATGATATGGGGCTCTCTCGGCTTCTACTTCATCGCCGACAACTTCTACAATTACCTCTGTCGAGGTCCTTACGTAGGCTCTCTAACGAAGGCCATGTCTGAGGCGAACTTCTGGTTCACCACCGTTCTCGTCGTCATCATTTCGATAATGCCGGTATATATCGATTATTTTTATATGATTAGGAGTTTTTCCAATTATGACATTTTACTAAGGGAGTGTATAGACTGCCGACCAGTCGGCAATCTTTACTTTTTTTTGAGTTGCCGATCGGTTGGCAGACTATACTCTTTGTTTAGGATGCTGACCAGTAGACTGCCGACCATTACTAGATTAGACTATTTTCAAGAAATTACCAATTTTAAGGAAGAAAAAACATGATTTAAAAAATGAAATACTTCTGAAAAAGAAGGTATACTGGGTGACACAGGAGACATAAAACAACCTGTAGTTTTTTATTTGATGAGTTAGAAATTTGAAATCCACAAGGGTTACATAATCGATGATGGCGCTTCCCTTGAACCCAATGACAAGTTTTTTCAACCACCTGTTTGATTGAAAGTAGACTCAACTTTTTTTTTTTCAAATGGCACCCTGTATATTTCTGTAGTCTATCTTATTCGCCTTGAAATTCTCTATTCAACTATGTATCACAAATTGATATTCGTTCATCAATTGGCTGTTCAATTGCATTTTATTGAAATACATGAAGATGGCTGTGGCCAAAATGCAATGACATTTCCAATGTTGGATTTGAACACGGGACCACAGGATTGACTAGCCAATGTCTAACCACTGTGCTACTATCCGTTTTGGATTTTTTTGTTATACAGAAAGAATTTATTCCACTAAATGGTCGGCAGTCTAGAGAAAAAGTATAGTCTGTCGACCGGTTTATACAGAAATAATGTATTCCACTGCATGGTCGGCAGTCTATACACTTTCTTCTACTAAAGCATGTAGAATTCACTGGAATAGACAAATACATCAAATATCGCTTCTATAAGAGTTGTATATTGGTTGATATTACCTGAGCATTGCATGATTTTTAACCCTGCACTAGAGGCGGCTTATATTTCATTACAACTGGTGGCGCCGGGTTTGATATACCCTAATTCATACATTTTTGAAACAATTATCGAAATTCACAATATTTCATCATACTTACTGCAGATTTATATAACAGAGGACACAACACATAACTGAAGAATTAGATAATCTCAGGATTATTTTTGGATATAAACATTTTAGACGAATAGAGATACTACTGTATAAGTACTCAATAAGTGATTATTATGAAGCAGGTGGAAAAATATTAGTCCTGATTATAACAACTCCACAATGATTTTGTTTCCCACTGATGAAATGGAAGTTATTGAAATAATTCAGTCTTTAAAGAAAACATGCTCAGATCCCGAAGGTTTAATAACTAAAGATATATTCGAACTAAAAAATATTTTGGCCAATCCATTATCAAAATTAATCAATAAATGTTTTACCAGTGGTATATTTCCACAAGAATTAAAGCATGCTTCATTAAGACCAATTTACAAAAGTGGAGATACTCAAGATCCAGAAAATTATAGACCAATCGCCTTATTGAGCATTTTTTCCAAAATTGTTGAGAAGATTCTTAAAAAACGCATTGTAGATTTCATAAATAGAAAATATAGCTTTGACATAAATCAATTTGGTTTTCAAGAAAATAGTGGCACACAAGCGGCAATATTACAAGTAATACAAGCAATACAAAAAGGACTTGATACCGGAAATTATGTGATAGCAATTTTTGTTGATCTCAAGAAAGCTTTCGATACAGTAGACCACATAACACTTTTGGAAAATTTAGAATCAATGGGACTCAGAGGCATGATAAGGAACCTTTTAGATTCGTATCTTCAAAATAGGACAATCAGTACCAAATCTACCAACTCAGAGTCTCATAGACTACCGATGACTAAAGGTGTCCCTCAAGGATCTGTTTTAGGACCAATTTTATATTTATTATATATTCAAAATATCACGAAAATTGATACAGAATGTAATTACACCATTTATGCAGACGATACGGTACTTTTATATGAAAATAAAAATCCTATCATTTTAGAAAATATAATAAACAGAGACTTGATGAAATTTGAAAATTGGCTGCATTCAAACCTCTTATCAATAAATACTGATAAAACTGAATATATGATTTTTCAACAAAAAAATAAACAAAATATAAATTTAAATCTCAGAATTATAAATGAATCTTTGATACAAACTAATGAGAAAAAGTATCTTGGGATTTGGTTTGATGATAAATTGAAGTGGGACAAACATATAAATGTTTTGAAGAAAAAAATATCTCCTATTATTGGAGCCCTTAGAAGATGTCCCAAGCTGAATAAAAAAGTTGCAAATATAATTCTATATTCTCATATACTCAGTCGTATTAACTATTTGATAAATGTTTGGGGATACTGTTCAAAAAACAATTTTAATAAAATATCTGCATTATATAAAAAGACATTGAAAGTACTGTATCGTTTACCATATGATACACCAACAAATCAATTATATAAAATAACTGAATCATTCTCATTAGAAGAAATGTTCAAAATCGAAAGACTGAAAATTACATACAATATCATAAATAAAAGATTGAAATCTAATTTTATTTTAACACGAAACAATGAAATTCATAATTATCAAACTAGACAACATGGTTTATTTCATCTTGATATCGCTAATACTTCTATAGGCCAAAAAAGATTCACCCACGCTGCTCTCTTGGAATATAACAAATTACCAGATAATATAAAAAATTGCAGAAATACAATAAAATTCAAATACCATCTTAAAAAATTTATCATTTCTGAACGAAATAGATGACTTACTTTTGATTCATATTCAAATTGATTTTTGCTCAGCAATATGAAATGATTTGTCAAAATTTAATAATTAATGTTTTCAAATATGTTATTATTCATCAGTTTATTATAATTGTATAGTTTTAGGTATTATTGTTAACTATACTTCCTTATACCAGAACTTGATTCTGACTGGAAGTAACATTTTCAATAAATAAATAAATAAATAAATAAATAAATTGTATTCTGTGAATGTGAATACTATTATTGTAATTGGTCATATTGAATCTCATAAGATAATTACTAGTTATAAATTTGGTAGCGTCGCAATATGTGGTTATGCTTCCATTGGTTGTAGAGGAATAAAGATGAATATATATGAACTAATAACTAATATCACGTGAGAAGGTGTATGGCTGAAAAAAAGAATTTAATATGATTTCAAATAACGAATGATGGCATCAAATACTATTAATACTCGGAATATAATCAATATAAAATAAGTATGTGGCGTAAATTTGACTAGTGTGTATAACCCCATTGTCTAAATTGATGATTTCTACATCCTGTTTTTGAAAGGGTTTCACTCTCGAGAACCCTCTGCCATAATGAAACCCCAATTAGGGAAAATCTTTTTACTTTTGTGTAATAAATATATTTCATAGTCTACCCAACAGAATAAAATCAATTTAGTTCGTCACGAAATTCAAGAGTGAATTGAACATATACAGGGTGAGTCATAACTATTGGGACATAGGATGAGGGCAGATTGTTTGGACCAAAATATGGAGATAGGACTAAATATGCCTATATAGAATATTGCTGTGGAAAAAGATACAGGGCGTTGAAGTTGACTTTTTATTTTCGTTTTTTGTCAATAATTTCACTGTATATTCATCAATTGTTATCAAAATTGGCACAGAGGCACAATTTCATACAGGGAATATTATTTTATGTACTATTCTAAATTTTGATACAGGGGGCGCCACGTGAATGATTCCTGATGATGAAATCGCCTGGTTACTTTTTTTGACAAAACTTTTGAGTGATTTTGATTGAAAAATATGACCTAAACTTCATTTTTACGTAATATTGATACTCTCATTTAAATACGATATTTTCATCCGTTTTCGAGAAAAACGCTGTATTGAACAGTTCAGAGTCTCAGAAGTTAATTACAAATATTATTTCATTCATAAAGAGTGTGCTTTGAACTGTCAGATAATGTTGCTGGTAATGGCATTTCTTGTCAGAGAATGAATTTTGGTGCGAGTTTATAGTCAAAATTTCTTCGATTGAAATGCCTCCACACAATCATTTCATGAATGAAGAAATGCGGGATGCAGCCAGAAGGTATGAATTGTAATATCTCTAATATCTAGGCAGAAAGCAACCAAATCACAAAACTTTTTCAAATATATCTCATATACAGTGAAATTATTAGCAAAAAAACGAAAAAAAACGAGAAAAAAACAACTTTAACGCACTGTTTTCACAGCAATTTTTCATTAAGGCATAATTGGTCCGATCGTCCCAATAGTTATGACTCACCCTGTGTATTCTATTATTTTAACTCCCTCCTTGTCGATGAATTCTGATTGAACTGTTTATTCTTCATTTTATTGCATGTTTCTTGGGATCAATAAATGTTATTATTATTAGTATTATTTCGATTTCTCGTATACCAGGTGTTGGCGTGGCGGTTCTACTTCGTCGACGTCTTTCCCACCCTGTCTGACAGGGTGAGACTGAAGCAGCGTATGGCGCAGGTGCGGTCGCGCCACAGCCAAGACGTGCTGAGAACGCCGTCAGCGCGAAGGGCTCGCAGGTCGATCCGATCCGGGTACGCGTTCGCGCATCAGGAAGGCTTCGGCAGGTTGATCACGTCGGGAAAGATAATGCGCAAGCTGCCCAATCCCGAATTCAACATACCGAACATCATGAACAAGCTGAACATGAATGCGGCGGGCAACAATTCCGGCCACCATCACAACAACAGCAAGGGATCGAATGTAAGTAGCCAAATCGGAGAAAATGATGATGTTACCATATGGTAACGCTAGACGCCACAGGGTATATCAGCATCTACCGTGTTCACAGCGATGTTATCAATGACAGTTACACAAATGCAATGTAAAACTTCAATAAAAGCAGATATTTCGGATAATAAGGTAGGAAAATATCGAAAATAATTCCGGCTACCATCACATCAAAGCAAAGGGGCGACTGTAAGTAGCTGGAAGGCGAAAAACAATGGTGTTACCACATGGTAACGCTAGGCGCCACAGGGTAAACCATCATCGAAAATGTTCACAGCGATGTTATCGATGGAAGTCGCAGAAATATTCTGTGAAACAATGAAAACCGATATCACTTGTAATCAAAACCAATATTACTTGTAATCAGGTCGAATAATATCATAAACAATTTCGACCATCATCACAACAAGGGTGCTGATGTAAGTAGTCAAAAGGAAAGCGATGTTATCGATGACAGTCACGCAAATACAATGTAAAATTTCAATTAAAACAGATATTTCGGATAATAAGGTAGAAAAATATCGAAAATAATTCCGGCTACCATCACATCAAAGCAGAGCGGCGACTGTAAGTAGCTGGAAGGCGAAAAACAATGGTGTTACCACATGGTAACGCTAGGCGCCACTGGGTAAATTATCATAAAAAATGTTTACAGCGATGTTATCGATGGAAGTCGCACAAATATTCTGTGAAATTTCAATATATACCGATATCACCGGTAATCAGGTCGAATAATGTAAAAACAATTTCGACCATCATCACAACAATAGTGCTTATGTAAGTAGTCAGAACGAATGAAAAATATGGGTTTCCATATGGTAACGCTAGACGCCATAGGGTATATCAACATAGAAAATATTGAGTCATAGGAAAGTAATGTAAAATTTCAATGAAAATGCAAATATCTCGTGTAAATAAGTAGGATTATCAAAAATATGATAGCAAAAATATCGCTCCAACCCGGGTACGCGTAGAAAGAAAGAAAGAAAGCAAAAAAGAAACTTTATTTACTCCTAGAGATTACAATGCCCCTAACAAAGAAATCCATCAAGAGAAAGACAAGTAAGAAAAACACTGGTTGGTCTCAGCAACAAGGCAAAAGAGTGTAAAAAAAAGAACAATACCTATATGAAGACAAAAGACAATCCTCGACAGAAAAACATGTACAATATACATAGTAATAATAAATTTTAAATACACAGATTTACAGTTCACAGACATGTAAGATTAGGAAATCAACTAAATAAATTGAACATATACCTACAGGGAAAAAATGAAAAGATCATTTCAGGAAATCTTGAGTTCACAGAAGTTTTTAACCCCAGATGGCGATACCAAACTTGAAAGATGAGTAATCATATGCATAGTATACTGTAAGTAGGACAGAGTTATCCACATTTTGCTTCATTTCAGAGTCGCATCAGCGGTGGTGCCAAGGAAGTAGTCAAATCGGAAATAATCGATGATGTTACCATGTGGTAACGCTGAGCGCCACAGGGTATATTAGCATCGAACGTGTTCACAGCGATGTTATCGATGATAGTCACATAAATCAAATGTAAACTCCCAATAAAAACAGATATTACGGGTAGAAAAGTAGAAAGCTCTCTAAAAAAAGAAATATCCCGTGTAAATAGGTAGGATAATCAAAAATATGAAAGCAAAAATGTTATGACAACAAGGGTGTGAATGTGAGTGCCTGAAAGAATATATTGATGGTTTTACCATATGGTAACGCTAGGCGCCATAGGGTTTATTAACGTGGCAAATGTTCATGAAGTCATAAGCATAAGATGGGAAAAAATCGTTTCAATTTTGTATTTGGGTCTGGAAATGGCCCCATGAAGCGACCTTGTGGAACACCCGAATTGACACTTTGCTATTTTCAAGGGTCCTCCGCCATCACAGGACGGAAGCAGCACCAGCAGCACCACCAGAGCCCCCATACAGGATTTAGATACTATAAATTTGTGACAGGGCGGCAAACGGTGAATTATTTTCATAGAGACTGTTTTTGCTACTTAAGATTTTACATTTTTATTAGAGATTTTTCTTGGTATACGCGACGGCATTTTGAGGAAGTTGAAGGATTATGCAGCCGAACGATTATTAATCGTTCGGAATATTCAAGTTCAGGTTCGAAAATAAAATCATAGAACTTTGAATTTTTAGGACATAGTTTAGAGAATTGAAGAGAATAGAAAATGTTTGGGTACTGGTCTGAGTTTAAAGAATCAGATTTTGGCATCATTATCTTTATTAATCCAATTTGTCCTGAAGATTGATGACTAAAAAAATTATAATAATATAATGCAGAGATATTTCAGATTTACATTCAGTCATCATTCAATATACCAAAATATTTGTTTATTCTTGGTCATTGTCATTGATGATGACAAAATCAAATTTATTAAACATTGACCACTAACGAAATTTTTTAACTTCAAATCCTCGGGCATATTAGAATTTCAGACAACTCAATCAGCAAGCAGCCGAAAAATCAGAGGCATAACTTATTTCCAAAATTCTTCTCTGAACAAAGGACCTCGCACCGCAATAGGGGGAAATTGGCTTTCGGTGAATTTTCTCGAATTTTGGATATATCGTAGAACTCGTGATGTTGATCAGATGTCCCAATTATCAACGCTCCATATTCAATAGTTTGTATTATACAGGGTGCTGAAGTTGACTTTTTCAAAATTTCGAATGGCCATTGTGAAGTTTCCTTTTTGAATACCAAAATCAAATCGACTACGTTTTGTTTTTCCATGTGGCCGGTGAAAATCCACTATAGAGTTCAATGATATCTGCACGTACTCACGATATACAGAGTTGGTCCAAAAATAGCAAAAGTTCCAATTATTTCCGAAATAGTGAGCGGTTCAAATTAATTCATTTTTGGACATTCCGTAGTATACTATTATCAACATCGTTTCATGATGATTGCATTTTTTGAATCACACTACATATTGTACACAAGATGTTCAAGTTTCCATGAAACCGCACCCGTCCTGATATGGATATGGCATCGAATGATTGGAATCCCGTAAAACTTGATGAGGAAGTTGATAATTCGTGATGACAATATTTTATGCAAATTCCTGAATTATACAGGGTGGTTGAGAAAGTAGTAGTGGAGTTTTCTTGGAGTTGACGTACTCCAGAGCAATTAAGATACAGAAATTCTGAGTGCGTCAACTCCAAGAAAACTCCACTATTACTTTCTTAATCACCCTGTATAATTCAGGTATTTGCATAAAATATTGTCATCACGAATTATCAACTTCCTCACCAAGTTTTACAGGATGCGGTGCGGTTTCATGGAAACTTGAACATCTTGTGTATAATATATAGTCTGATACAAGAAATGCAATTATCATGAATCGATGTTGATATTAGTATAACGAAATGTCCAAAAATGAATTGATTTCAACCGCTCACTTTTTCGGAAATAATTGGAACATTCGCTATTTTTGGACCAACTCTGTACGTGCAGTTATCATTGAACTCTATAGTGGATTTTCACCGGCCACATCATGGACAAACAGAACGTAGTCGATTTGATTTTGGTATTCAAAAAGGAAACTTCACAATGGCCATTCGAAATTTTGAAAAAGTCAACTTCAGCACCCTGTATAATACAAACTATTGAATTTAGAGCGTTGATAATTGGGATATCTGATCAGCATCACGAGTTCTACGATATATCCAAAATTCGAGAAAATTCACCGAAAGTCAATTTCCCCCCCATTTGGGGTGCGGGGTCCTTTACACTCTTTGATTTGGATTTTGTATGCCTGTTCCAATAGGAATTCATTTACTTTTTTTTCCCGATTGTTCTTCAGATAACCAATATTGAGTGATACATAATACTGCAGGTTGAATAAAAATTAGTTCCAGATATCAAGTGAAGAACAAAATTTTGATGCTTTTTAATTTAATTTCAACACACAATAAGTTCAAAATCACTTTCATCGAATTATCTATAAAATCACTTCTTTTTTTTTTGTCAAATAGTCAGTCTTAATTTATTTTGGAGGCCTCTAAAGGTGGTTGGTTCTGCAGGAAAAACGGAAGTAATGGAACTGTTGTCTTTGGTCCCAAATTTAGGCATGGAAATTTTGTAAATGGCATTTATTACTGAAGCAAACTAAGAGTACAAGTCCATAAAGTTATTGAAAGACTAAAAATATTCTGTTGTCCTGGATGTGAGAAGTGTCAAATGCAATCATCAAGAGCGGTGTTGCCATTATTTGACAAATTAAACATTATCTTGACGGTCTGAATGAAAGACATTGAACTTTTGTGTCCATGAAAGATATTCTATATGTATTTATTTTCTCTATCAGCAGACCAAACAGAAAAAACAATTAATACCCAAATCGTTGTTATATTTTCGATATGCCATCATGATTTTAGTAAGATGTGCACATGTTTTGTCATCCTTTAAGTTGTAAACATTGTAAAAATTGTTAATATCATTTTTTCACAGAAAAAACCCGAACAAAAACGTTTTTTTGCATACTCATATAAGTATTTGCTATGTGATTTTCACCTAAAAATAGGTACATGTACAGTATAAAGATATGTTTTATGTTACTAGACTTAAAAATGTTAAGCTTCTACTAGTCAAACAAAGTATGTTTAATGTTATTATGAGGAAGTATGTCTTTATTACCAAGTTATTCAAAAAAGTATATATGCTTTTCGTTTTTTATTATGAAATAAATTTATTTTTTCTGTATGAAGCTTTTCATTTGAATGCGAAACATATCCACTCCAAGCACACAATTTTATAATAGTATATTTTCTACTCACATAAAATGGCATTTAGCGTATGGATATGTACCATGCTAAATGATCGATTAATCACGGATTGCCGATCTGTGATTTATTCAAAATATTGAACACGTTACCATGGCCTGTCAATTGTCAATTGTAGGAACTGTCAACTGTCATTTCCGAATTTTGTATCAGAATTCTTCATTAAAAATATATGCGAAATGTAGACGAAAGTTAAATCAAAGAGAATGTTTTGGTACTTGCAAATCTCCAAGAAGTGTAGAAATGAAGCATCCATCTTGAGAACAATTCATTTATTCTGCGCTAAGCATGGCAATAAACGTGTAACAAAGGTTAGTAAGCAATGGACTGGACACATCTACAACCAATATCACTTATACGCGTCTCGCTGGTTGCATGCAGTTGCATGTATTATGTTCTCAATTCCCATTCCTTTCGAATTATTTTGTAGGTTAGCAGGAATTGCAGTATAAAATAATAGTATGTAACGCGTTTATAAACTCTTCTAGACACTCGTTTATTGAACACTCGCTCCGCTCGTGCTTAAAATACTCGTTACTAAGAGGACGTTTATAACACTTGTTACATATTATACTATTTTGTAACAAGTGTTATAAACGTCCTTTTAGTAACGAGTAGTTTAAGCACGAGCGGAGCAGAGCGGAGCGAGTGTTTAATAAACGAGTGTCTAGAAGAGTTTATAAACGCGTTACATACTATGATTTTTCTACGAACTCCGAAAATTACATTAACATACCTGCAATTCCTGCTAACCTACAAAATAATTCGAAAGGAATGGGAATTGAGAACATAATACATGCAACTGCATGCAACCAGCGAGACACGTATAAGTGATATTGGTTTTAGATGTGTCCAGTCCATTGCTTACTAACCTCTGTTACACGTTTATTGTCATGCTTAGCGCAGAATAAATATATTGTTCTCAAAGATGGATGCTTCATTTTCACACTTCTTGGAGATATGCAAGTACCAGAACATTCTCTTCGATTTCACTTTCGTCTACTTTTCGCATATATTTTTAATGAAGAATTCTGATACAAACGAATATTGTTTGAACGATTCTGATACAAAATTCGGAAATAACAGTTGACAGTTAATACATTGGACAGGCCAGACATGTCTCAAATTACTGAAGCTGTGTTTAATGAACTGCGTTGCCATGGCAATGTGTTTAAGAAATCGTGTTGCCATGGTAACGTGTTCAATATTTTGAATAAATCACAGACCGACAATTCGTGATTAAAATTGATCATTTATATAGCGTGGTACATATCCGAATGATAAATGCCATTTTAGTTATATGTGAGTGGAAAAAAAATTAATACAATAGTGTTCAAACTATGTAATATATTTGAGAACAGATAGAAAATAGTTACAAAATTAACATTATGAATCTTTTAAAGCAGTACAACAAAGCAAAAATTGAACTGAAATAATAAAATGCTAGAAACACATCACATTTTGTTCAACTTTTATATCAAAAAGTCCCATGTGGATTACTTTGAAACTTAATTTCCATATTGATTTTCAAAATCTGTTGAACAACAAACACTAGGAACTATGGAATTATCAACTTGCTCCCAACAACTTGAAAACAATTATTAATCTTTTTTATAGTTTCTCCAGTCCAGATCACTATAATCTTCATCTTCATAGTAATCTTTTTTCTCCTGCCCATTTTTTTCAGCGAGAAACTTGCTTCGCAGCTCCGCCGACAATTCAGCAAGTCTCACTTCGTTCATTGACAAAAAATCCTCCCATTCCAAAGCTTCCAATTCTCGCTCATTAAAATTGTGGAAATTGCCCTTCTCAACTTTCTCCCTGTATTCTCTTTCCGAAGCCCTTTTCTCCTGGAGGTGTATACTGTCGAAAGCCAGGGATAGTGCGTCTGTGGTTTTGTTAGCTAAATTGTTGATATAATCCAGTTCTTCCTCGATTTCCTCCCAAGATTTCACTCCGGTACCTACATCACAATGCAAGGTTGCTATTTTATCATTATAACATTTAGCAAAAGCACTACCTAGTTTCTTGGCCCCATGGAAAGCCTCTTCTGGGATGTTTTGTGGTCGGGGAATCACCGCCAATTCCAGTTTTGGAAAAAGGGACTCCTGCATATTTAATATTTTTGATGAAAGACTGGTCAGCTCATCCCCCTTGACCTTTTGTAATTGTTTTTCTTTGGTATCTTCTTCAATTGAGCATGATTCATTTATTGGAAATTTCATCTGATAACTATTATTGATGATAACTTCATTGGAGCTTATTGCCATCTTGTCCTCATTACATGCACTACTTTTAGAAGGCAATGAATCACTGCAACTGCTTACATTCCCTTTGAAATATTTTGTGTATTTCTTTTTAGATTTAGGTGGAGGTATTTTGAATAAGTTACTGTCTCCTGATAACTCCTGGGAGCAACTTCCGAAATAAACTTCAGTTTCAGAATTGATGTCCATCATGTTGCTATCAGGATTTTGAAATGATGAATTCGAATTGTTGGTAAGAGTAGAACTTTGTTGGTCATTGAGACACATTTTTTCATCTGTGAAGAACATATCTATGCTGCTCATTGATGCTAGATCATTTTTGCCGATAGCAAATTCACAATTTTTGTTCAGTTGCTCATCAAGTACAGTAAATTTATTATTCTCTGCAATTGAATGATTATTTGGTTCATGAATCATTTGACTCTTTGCCGGTTCATTGATAAACATCTTGTTTGATAACATGTCTGAACAAAATGATGCAGGTTCACTGGAATTTTTTATTGGTAATAATATTGTGTTCAACTCTCCTTGATTTTCCTTCATCATCTGAAAATCTTGAGTCAAGCCACAAACAAGAGGACCAGAGTTAGTTTTGTTGAACTCCATGGATTCTGACATGCTTCTCTGGAACATTTTAACGCATTTGTGGATACGATACAACACAGTCTTCAGATTCTCAGCCAGAAGATTTTGTTTTTTGGTTTTGAACGGAATTCTGGAGAGCAGCTTCATATATTTCTCGACTTCATGCATTCCTAACAAATATTTATCTTGCACATGAAGATTGACCATTTTTTTGATTTCATCAAGAATCTCTGCTGTGGATCTTTGCACTTTCTTTCTTTTATTAACATCCGACATTTCGAATAAAGAACAGTAAGTTGAATCAGAACTGAAGCCACTTGAATCCATGTTGCTCATTTTTCAAATTTTCTTGTATGAAAACAGTTGAAGATTGTGTTACAAAAAGAAAAAGGTGTTACAAACATCAAAGAATGCACAAAGGTCACAAACATAAATGTTCATTCAGGTTTGTCCTCGTCAATTGTTTGCTAAATACGGAGAAAAAATCTAGTAAGCTGTTCAGCTCACTAGATTTTTTTCTCCATATATTTAGCAGACAATGGTCTCGTTTTGGCAATTCAAATTTTTTTGCCACCATCAAAAGTCTATAAATAAGCATCAATTCTACCAACCTTGTCCACCAACAATGTTGGTAGAACTGATGATAATTTGTATCAACAAGGTTGGTAGAACTGATGATAATTTACTGGTTGGTAGAACTGACGATAATTTACTATACAAATTATCATCAGTTCTACCAACCCTGTGTATCAAGAATTCATTCGCCATCTATTGTTTGCTAGTGATATTACAAAAACAAATATCAATGGGATCTTATTTGTATTCATGCATATATGTACTATTTCTATATATAGAGCAACGCTATATGATATCTCAACAAAAATGGGATCAAAATGAGAACTCTCCTTGAATGAGAGGTACTTTTTGAATCTATAAGAACGGAAAGTGAAGGATGGAAAATTTGAAATAAGTAGCCATATTGTCGTATTATTTTTTTCCTACGTCGGCATCAATGCCTATTGGTCGATTTCATTACTTATAGAGACAGAAGTTGGTCCCGCTTTGAGGACAGCTATACAATGAACTCTACATACAGTTCATTGCAGCTATACAGGCCATATGCAATGTAGATATAGGTATTCATGTCAAAAGGAATGAAAGAAGAGTACACATCAAGATTAGTAAACTATACAGGTGTCCTTGTTTTCAGTGTTCCAAACGTAAAATTGAATAATGACAATTTATGTTGGCAATACTGGAAATAGAAAAAATGAAGAATATCATATTAACCTCAATGAAAAAAGTTCATCTTCTCCATGTTGCCAACATAACCAAACATAACATTTTCATGGAACCCTGACCAGACTTTTTATGAATATTTTTCTGAATTTCTCTCCCAACGGTCAACGCTAGCTGAACTTCTCTAGGCCGATGGTGAATTGATATTTCAATTCTTCTTCATTTCAAATATGGTTTCATTTCCTCTGAGAGATTTTATACTGGTCCCAAATAGAACTTCTACAGGAGCACCCATAATCTTTTCAGTGCCTTAACAGAATATTCATAAGGGGTTTCAGTGATGTTTTTACTTCTCTGTGAGTGTATATAATCAAGGGTGGTAATTAAAAAAGGAATATTTTCACATTTTCCATGATTTGGATGGATATTTATTGAAATGTATGTACAAAAGGTACAATGAAATTAACTTACTGATTACTGTCCTGCAGTTTTAACACTGACCTAATGGCAATTTGACCATACACCTTCATAACAACTTTATGGATATAAAAACTTTGTAGAAACTATTTTCCCTAATCATTATACCAATCTAAGAATAATAGTGAAAATGACATAACTAGCAGAAAAAATAAAATATATACCCTCAACCCTGCATTCCTCTGTATAGCCTGCCTGATCTGCTCATTGGCATCTTTCATATTCTCTGTTGAGCCCACTACAGTGGAGGCTATCCTTTCAATATCCTTGTCTTGCTGTAATACTTTTTCAGTGAACAGTTCTTGCAACTCTGCAATATGAACTACTTTATTCTCCATCTGTTTCACTTCATCTGAAATGCTATTTAATTCATTGTACAAATGTTCATTTTCTGCCTCAAACATCTGCATGTCTTCTGTGGAGAGTTCATCATCATAGTTGACAGGCATTGAAGGTATTCTAGGCTCTTCTTTTGAGGGAGACTTGACTGTATTTTCTAAGCTTACTTTATTTCCTGATGTTTTGTCATCCAGTCTTGGAGATGGTGTCTCAAGCTTTGACAACTTATGAGTTTCAATAACTCTCTTCACCCTCACAGCTTTAGCTTCTGTATAAATTTTGGACACACTCTTCAAGTAGACCTCTAAGGTATCTATTATGTTTCTGTAATGTTCTGCCTTCTGTTCACTCTTTGTCATAGATGATACATCTTGTTTGAACTCACTTATGAGGTGTTTACATTTACTCACAATATCTTCAGCCATATGGTCAATTTGTTGTCTATCTACTTCAGTCATAGTTTGGTTAGTTGATAGATAGTTCAAGACGTTGAGGTAGGCTGCTTTATTATCCATTAGGATCTGTTGAAGACTCTTGATTTGCTTGACAATTTCTCTAGCTTTGGTGAGGTTGCCATCCTTTTGAGACTTCAGAATGGTGGATTTTTGATCTTTTACGCCTAGGGATTTGTTGGTGGTTCGAACAGTCTTGACACATGCCTTGAACAGGGTTGTTATATCCATTTTGCAGATATGTTGAATATGGTCAAGATTCTGATGAAAACGGTTCCACTTATATTTATATTGTTTCCATCACTATAATCAGTAAATAAATAGAGCAATACTGCAGGGAAGGTATGCCAAACGCATAGCAGCTGCCAGTGTTCACTGTTCAGTCAAGTCAGTGTTCCAACTTCCAACTGAGATTGAGATAACATCAAGGAAAATCATTCTTCTTCCTTTCGATTTGAATGGCCTTAGCTACCTGGGCCAGAAAAAAGGAGAATTTTAATCTTTTTTATATTGAGGTTAATATAATCATCTTCTCCATTTTATCATATTTTCAATGTTACTAATATAAAATTTCCATTGTTTTACCAAAGAGGAGACTATTCCTTGGTTTAACGTTTGAACACTGAAGACATTTTTTTAATGATTGATGTGATGGCAGTGACAGACGACAGACAGGAGATTGACACGAGACAGGAGATTGACGCGATAGAGCAGAAAAACGACACTGGGAAAAGCCACAGAACTCATATATTATAATCATATTATAATATATGAGTTCTGTGGGAAAAGCTAGTGAATTTTGATTTTGCGCAAATTTTGTGAGACCAAACGTCATATTCCTCTTCCCTCTCAATTACTCCAATTTGTCTATCTTGCTTGCCTTTTGCCCCTCTTGCTCTTATCAATCTTATTTTAATTTTTACCCGTGGCAGTGCTGTGCGAGCTAATAATAGTAATAATCAGCTATTTTTAATTTTAAACTTTCATTTTTCCCATCCTAATTCCTAAGTTAGTTCGGCGGGTGTGCTCTATTGTGACGGCAGCGTTTTTGGGTTATCTAGGTGAAAAATTACGTAAGATATACCTAAAACGAATTATTTTGTTGCATAGCCTCATGAGTTTACACTGAAAACCACCCAATTATTTCCCAACATTAATCCGTCTTCTCTCCAATCTCTTGTGCCAGTGAAAAATCTGGAATCAACCCGTGATGTTGAACTCAAGAATCATGTCCAGATTTGGACCCATGAAATTTCGTCCTGTGGAAGTATTAAAAGCCATCCCCACAGCCTGTAATAACCTGCAGGGCCGTACCTATGCCGATCACGTCATTCCCGACCGACTCAAAGACATGCCGACGAACCCCAATCCGAGGTTCTTCGACATGGTCGAGTACTTCTTCCACAAGGCCTGCGTTCTGGTTGAAGACAAGCTGGTGGAGGACTTGGGCAGAGTGAAGGGATCCAGGTTGACTTTGGAACAAAGGAAAGCCAAAGTCAAGGGTATCTTGACGCACATGGAGCAGTGCGACCACATCATTGAAGTGGCTTTTCCCATCAAGAGGGACAATGGGGAGTATGAGATCATCAAAGGGTATAGAGCCCAGCACAGTACCCATAGGACTCCATGCAAAGGAGGTGAGTCAAGGTTTTGAACTGATATTTCAAGAAAAAATTGGGAATTTTAGGGTTACCATCTCGGTTACCATCAAATTTCAAACTGAATTAATGAAAAACAATTGAAGTTTGATTTCCGGAAATCACAAATATGGCATGCTATTGGCCTATCCCCCCTGTTATTTTCAGCTCAGATATCTGTTTCTCAACTGTTTTATAGATATAATAGTTTATTTGTAGTATTTAATACATTTTTCAACCTGACAGTTTTAATTTTCAATATTATGAAATAGATATTAACCTAAGTATTAACCTATATAAACTATGCAAATTGAGTAGATAATCTAAATGATATTCTCATATTCCTATAGTGAGTTTATTGCAGGTAATGCTTGAATTCTTTTACATAAAGCTTAAGTATCAATAACCATGCAAATTGAATAGATAATCTAAATGAAATTCTGTGAATTCCTTAGAGTAAATATAATGCTTGAAAAGTATCATTAAGATATTATTTTAAATTTAAAATAGGTAGATGTTCCAGAAAATGCCAGGTGCTAACAACTCTTTGAATATGGTTTACTAAACCCTGAGATTTTAAGTACTTGATTACCTACTTTCCTAAATCCTTTCATTATTTTTACTATTTGTGAATTACCATTCCAGTATCTTCAGTATCTCCGATTATTTATTAATTATTTTCATTACCTTTTCAGTATTAATTCTAATTACTTTTTGAGTATTTTAAATACATTTTAAGTAGGTATACTTTAATTACTTTTTCAAATATTTCAGTTGAGTACTTTCAGAATATTTTATTCACTTTTTTTGATGTTGATGACCTCTACAAAAAAATCACATTTTACCCCAACAAAGACCTCACTATTTCCAACAGCAAGTACTTTTAGTCCACAGACACGAATTTTTCTGCAGGGTTGCCAGTTGTACGGAATTATCAGTAGATCTCCTGATTTGCCTATTTATCTACTGAAACAATTCATAATCAATCATAATCATGCTAAGGCCTCGGCTGTCAATTTTCAAACTCTACTATAATAGACAGTGTTTTGACCTTGGTACATAAATAACTATTTCAGTACAGCAATTCTATTTTTCATCTCTTCAAATACTTTTGAAGTCTCCTGACATCATTTTTGTGTTTCTATTAGAGGAGGTTGTTCACATTTCTCGTCTGCCGTCTGCCTAAAGCTTAGTTTTCTGCTGGGCGATTTTGGCTTTGACCAGTGTTGTTCCCATATACGTATTAATTAACAATACGGATCATAACGGGTGCCAGGATGAAGCCAAAAATATGAAACAAATGAATATCCATAAGGATTTGGTGGCATGATACGCATGCGCCATGCGCTATTATAGTAGTCATCAAAGACATGCGTTTCGGTGGACAATGACGTTTACTAGCCTTTCAATCAAAGCAGTATGTGTCTGATCGTTTCAAAACGTTTCCTTATGGATAGTCATTTGTCTTCAAAAATCGGCTTCATGTTTCGCTATGGAAACAGATAGAGATTATCCGTATTGATTATTAATATGTATATGGTTGTTCCTGGGTCTGATTTTTTCGTAATAGATTTCCTTGGAAAAGGTATCAGATTTGTATCAAAAGGGCAAAAGCTCCGGCAAAAGGTAATAGACTCGAAAAAACTGACATTTGACATTCGGAATGTCATTCTTGTCAAACCCTATCACACTAATCACAGTTTTGAAAGGAATGAAGCAGAAGTCACACAGAACTTATCAGGGTTGAAAAAAAACATGTATTTTTTAATTTTATACAAAACACATGTTTTTTTTTGTTTTAAACGGTTTTTTGTTTTAAACATTGTTTTTTTTTGTTTCTGAATTTTATGATTTAAACAAATAAAACTTGGAAAAAGACATTGTTCAAATCATATTTTTCCAGACATAATATTAATTCAGAGATTAATTCAAAATGTTTGATATAATAATCTTTAGTATTAGTCCACTTAATAATAGATTATAAGGATATAATAAAGCTTGTAAACGACACCAATTTAAAGACAAATGCCCAAGACTATTTGAAAAAATTGAAGTATATCGTATAGTTGCTTTGGAAGTCCAAAGAAACACTTAAACTATAGGAGAGGCTACAGAGATATGGCTAGAACTTTTAGAAGCATTCGAGACAACAAGCAAATGGAGAATTTTCGGTAAGTGATACGAATAAAGTGAAGGAACGTATGGAAATGGCTTCAACCCCAGCTCATTTTTTGGCAAATTTGCTTGATCATCGCTTCAGAGGAAATAAACTCAGTCAAGAGCAAATAGGAACTGGCATGGAATATGTAGAAACCTATCATCCAGAAGCATTGCCAATTATTATTAATTACCAGGCAAAGTGTGCACCCTTTAAACAATATATGTTTTCTAAACATCTGATTGAAAATTAGAATTCAAAAGTAAAACCATTGGCATGGTGGCGTTCTATGAACAATATAAATATGACATCAATGGAACTTGCTCAACAGCTTCATACAGCTATTGCATCGTCAGCCAACATAGAAAGACTCTTCTCATCATACGGTTTAGTCCATTCAAAACTACGTAATCGGCTAGGCAATGTCAAAGTGGCTAAGTTGGTTTCAATTTTCAAAGAACTTAATTCGATCAGTGATGACGTGACTGATGAGATTGATGATTATGAGATTGAAAGAGTGTGAGAAATTTGTGAACGCTTGTATGCAAAATGTTTTAAATTTTCCAATTTTTCTTATGTTCCTAATTCCTATTATTAATGAATAGATAATTAATATGTATTATGTACTATGTAGAATTTTTCCTATTTTCATTCATTATAATAATAAAGAAAATGAAAAAAAACCGCTTGTTTAATATAAGTGTTTTAAACATGTTTTAAACTGCTTTGAACAAAAACTGTTTAAAACTTGAGCACATGTTTAAAACATGTTTAAAACAGTTGATTACAACAAAATGTTTAAAACAAAACAACCCTGGAACTTATGACATTAATATAGACCATAGAGCAGAACATAATAATCCGCTGAGCACAGAAATAGATTTTTTAGTATTGGACACTATTGGAACATCATATTTTGGTGCTAATAGCGAATAGTAATAGATTCATGACAAATCGTAATATCATAACAATCTTCGTGAAATAGTAATAGATCTATTACAAAAGTAATGACAAGAACAACACTTGCTTTGATGATGGTAACGCTGACACGTGACTATGATATTATTGGTCAATTCGAATTGGTTTGCTGTCATTCATTGACCAATGATAACATCCTAAGGTTGGTTAGTAATTGTGAATCCCAGAATACCGATGAGCTAAACAGTGTTGCCGGTGTTGAAGATACAAATAGCGCAATGCTAAAAGTGAAATATCTGGTGTAATAGCGCAACATTTCTCAAATTTGCGCATGCCCATTATTTGACGACAATTTTTCCCATGAAACTTGTCTACTGCCTGAAGTATGTACATTCAAATTGCCACTCGAATTGCCACAACCAGGTCAATAAAAGGTGGCTATGAATTTGCATATAATGCGTAGGCGCCCAATGAAAATTGTTAGTTTTTTTTTTTCAGAAAACTGCGAACTGTACTCTTACCACAAAGAAAAAAGTGCATTTTTCCACAAAAAAAGGCAATGGTGCAAAGCGAACTTGAATAGCGCAATTATTATTTACTTTATTTATCTGTTCCAAAGTGAATGGCCTGCCAACGGATATGAAAGTTTCATTTCATTTTCATTGTTCCTGGAATATCTTGAAGAAAAACCTTGGATTAGTATTATTTGTTTCTAATTGAGCCATATATTACATTGTATGACATATGCAAGAAAACATGGTTCCACTCTTCTGAGAGCACTGCTTCCAAACAACGACTGTTGCTTTCCAATAGTGCATGATAAATTTGGAAAAAACTGGTATAAAACCACTGTTTATACCTAACCTTTGAAGGCGACACCCTCCTTTAAAGAGAGGCATTACGAACGCCAAAGTTGATACACTCCCCTCGTAAGGGTACCTGACGTGATTCCATACACTCACATAATTGATTGTCGACTAATTCTTCGACTGATGAAATGAATTCAGTGAATCGATGAAAGCCGCTTTTTTACGAAGGAATGTTCGAAGAAGAATAGAACTATGATATGTATTTATGGAAAGGCTTCAACGTTTATGAAAACTTATCTTAACAATATCTTCATTTCATTTATGTATCTCTTATGACATTCACAGATCCAGAGTTCCGAAGTGAACTGTCGTACAAACGAAAAGGGATGTTTTGCAAATCCAGGATTTCAAATTCTGAGACATCGGAGACAGTATACATCGTTCCAGGAATATCCAAAAAAAACTTGATTAGTATTACGTATTGTTGATTGCTCCATATATCATTTACTCAATCTATCTGTTCCAAAGTGAATGGTCCTTCAAACGAGAATGAAATTTTTCCCAAGATTCTGAGAAATCTACAATAAATTTCATTATTCCTGGAATATCCTGAAAATAAACCTTGGATTAATATTATTCGTTCCTAATTGGGCCATATATTACATTGTATCACATAATATGCAAGAAAACATGGTTCCACTCTTCTGAGAGCACTGCTTCATTGAAACAACGACTGTTGCTTTCCAATAGTGCATGATAAATTTGGAAAAAACTGGTATAAAACCACTGTTTATACCTAACTCTTGAAGGCGACACCCTCCTTTGTAGAGAGGCATTACGAACGCCAAAGTTGATACACTCCCCTCGTGAGGGTACCTGACGTGATTCCATACACTCACATAATTGATTGTCGAGTAATTCTTCGACTGATGAAATGAATTTAGTGAATCGATAAAAGCCGCTTTTCACGAAGGAATGTTCGAAGAAGAATAGAAATATGATTTGTATTTATGGAAAGACTTTCAACGTTTATGAAAACTTATCTTAAAAATCTCTTCATTTCATTTATGTATCTCTTATGACATTCAGAGATCTAGAGGTTCGAAGTGGACTGT